TTACCATGATTACTGTATTCGGTTGATATTACTTGTGAACATGCCTTAATAATTGGTCACTGGTTGGGGTCAGTTCTCGGCGAGGCTTTAATGATCGCTCAAATACTTTGAAAGCCTCGTCGACACGACGGCTACCTGATACTAAATTTTATACAGACATTCAAAACAATTATAATGCATGTACAAACAAAAGTTAATTATGTTGTTGGTGCTATTGGCGGCACCGTGAATGTCCATTGGCGTCTTTCTATTTTAACTGTGAGAGGAAGACCTTAGGTTCCTTAGTAGAACGGAAAACTTTCCGTAAGGTTGTTTGATATCTTTTTCGCAAGAAAGAATTAAAAGTCGTTTGCAAACTTTGAACCGAGCAAGTGGTTGTACGTCAGCTATGATAAGCAATATACTATGGATTCAAAGATGTTGATGCCGAAAGTAATAAAAACGAAGATAAGGATGGTGATAACATGTTTGTATTTGAACCTTAAAACATAACAGAGACAAATATAGAGATGTGTATCAACAATAAAATAAGCCCCAATCGTATCTTCTCGACAAAAAAACTTACTTGCCGACCAATATAAACTGAAACAAAGTCTAAGATATAGAGAAACAGTCACTCTTGTCATTTTTACTAAATTAAAATAACTTCAGATGTGTTTTATATACCTTTTTACCTTATGATATTAGAAACGGAAATAGCATTTGGTCGAATAGAGAAAAAAGGCGATACTGTAAGGATATCTATTTATCAGTATTAAACGCAGCTGCACCAAAAAAAATAATGAACTGAATTATATGAAAAAAAAATCAAATCAAGAATCCGTTTAAGAAAATTGTAAAATTATGTCACGGATTTATATTACAATAATATAAATCCGTGGTTATCTGAATAGACCATAAACATAAAACGTACATAATTTATCTATATTTTTATTGTTTAACATCAAGCGTGTGACAATAATCGTTTGTGTCCCTTTATTAAGATTCTGAAAGTTCGGCAGGCAAAACATACATAATTATAATATTTTTATTGACGTCATCATAAAAAAGTAAAAAACAGAAATTGTAATTGTCTATTTTCAATATTTCACGTATCGATATATTATTAATTTTAAATTGCTTTACTTTGCAACAATCTTTTTAAAGCGTTTAAATTGTTCGCTTAGCAACCGCGTTTTTGAACATTGCCTAGAAGCAGGGACGCGGAACTTTTTTATTCTCCTTTTTTTCTCTGAATCCATCAAAATATCATTTATCACTGAGAAAATTGCCTCTTTACTTTGATGAGGAACCTAATCCCTCTAGACCTTTCTTGCTATTATTTACATGATGTCAAATCTGTACAAATATGGAATATTTTATATGCAACGCGTAACTCGATTCACTGGACGGAATTAGTTGAGAACTGTTCTTTCTTAATCGAATATTGATAGCTTGATTGACGTCCGGATGTATCAAAATTAACAATATCGTTTTGTGGCTTCCAGTTTATTTGAGTGTAAATAAGAGCAATAATATTTCAATCTTTCAGAGGAAAAGTGACTAATTCTTCGATTACGGTGATCCTTCATTTCTTCCACTTTGACATTTGGTGGAATTGTTTGATAGTTTTGTCTGACTGCAATAATATCATACTTAGTGAATTAATTCTCTCAAACTTGTTCTTTCCCGATCCGCCCATCCGAGTATGGGAAGCATGAATTAGTCGCGTGAAAAGTTTCTCGAGAAGTTAGCGGTATATGTATGATATTTAAGGTAAATATGCAATTTTTTGGGTAAATGTACTCAGGAAAATCTAAACAACATGTATCTTTATAGGGCTTTTCACACATGTTCATTCAATCAAGAAAAAACCACAAGCATACACGAACATATAATGTCAGCATTGATAGTACTGTACAACTGACTTGAATAGTATTTTCTTTAAAAAGTCGCATCAGATGTGAACAGAACATCTATCTATATATATAATATAAGCGTTCACAAAAGTGCTGTTTTACAAAATATTATAATTATGTTATATAAGTACATTTTATGGGTTTTTTTTTCATTACGTTAAAGGCCCATTATGCCACAGAAACGATTTTATTTTTATTTCCCAAAAGCTTTTTAGTTTTGGTTTTAATGCTATAGTTTCCAAAAAGTTACTTATTGACCAATTACCTAAACCACCTGTTGCTTATGTTGTCTTTGCAAGATATTACTTTGTTTACGTTCCGCAACTTTTATGACAAATAATGCAAGGTGAAAACATCTAACATGCTCTGAAACAGTTATTTAAACTTAATAAATTTCATATTTTTCCTTTCTAAAGGCATAATGTGCCTTAAACTAATATAATTGATGTTTTTGATATTTAAAAAAAAAATGAAAGTAGATAATTCTTTTGCAATTTCTTGAATGTTTTAAAAGAAATAAATATATAGCCTTATTATTTGTCTTAGTTACCATTGACTGCATTTATTAGCAAGAGTTTGAACACTTTTTTCGAGAAAGAACGCTTGTGCTTTATACATTTTGTATTTAACAGTACAAAGTAAAATTACTTATTACCTTTGTTAGTTTTAAGTCCCTATTATGGCTTAACTTGATACTGCCAAGAAAAATTTCATTTTAAACATACAAATATTACATTTACTTAATCGTGCATGGAATCGGTCATATCAATTGTTTTATTATTTATTTCAAAATTAATTACCCTTTTTTGAATATTTCCGAAAAACATGGCATTGTATGTCGCGATCAAGAATGATAATCGTTCCATTATTCAAATACAGAAAAGCGATTGGGAGGAACAATATTGGTCTATTATTGATATGTGACGTGCACGTTATCCCTGGCTTACGAAGATGGGCATATATTTGTGATAAGAGAAAATTTATGTATGAGCAATTTGTAATGGATTGTATCTAATTGAGTTTCGACTTCGAAAACACGCATTTTCATCACGTTGACTGATCCATCTCGCGTTCTACTGATCCCCCTTAATGCCAAATGTTCCAAAACTCATAACGTTTGATTCACTTGATATTAACTTGTTATTGTTCTGATGATACTTGAGTGTTATCTATAGTTTCAAACTTGGTCCTCTTTTATCGAAAATGGCCAGAAGAGGGGTTTTATTCCATTTTGATCCTTTTCAATGCCTTTCGTGCCGGATTGTACGCTATCGTTTATGCAAATGTGTTTTATCGGCATCTTAGGTGTTTAAAATCTAATATGTCTAGGACGGTGGCATTGCCGTTTTTTTCCTCATCCATTTGTTTGTTAATGATAGTCATTCGGTAGTTAAGTGCTTGTCCGCCAGGAAATTGCGTTCATTTAAATAAATGAAATGAATTTAATATTTTTTACTTATTTGTTTCCCAGAAACGCATCATTTCTATTCAATTTCTAAAACAAACATTGTAGGAAATTAAATGATGTTGAATTAATTTTTGAAAAATTGATCAACCTTGGAAAACACTCGATTTTCTTGGAACCAAATTGAAATTGAACTTATTGAAATTATCGATAAAGTTTAACATTGATTTGACCTTGACCTTTTAAACTTTATCAGTTTCAAATACTCTAAAAGCAAAAAGTCAACATGTTGGGAATCTTGTATTTCTTACTATGTGCAACACCTTTATGAAGTCATAAATATAAAGTAAATATGACCCGACACCCTGACCCATTTACCATTAGCAACACTATTTTAGGAATACCAAAGCATTTAATTCTGTAGATTTTACATATTTTTATATACATTAAACTCAAATATACACTACAATGACGTCACGTTTCCATTTAAAGTATTTGCCATAAATCACTGAATTTATTAGTTTTGTATATACATTAAGTAATTTTATTTCGACATTCATTAAACACATACATGTATTTTGTTTTGTAAATTTCTCAACTAGGAAGAGCTTAATGTCATATTGTAGGAATTTGTTCCCTAACCCATTTTCTTTTGTTTAATGTGTATATTTGCATGTATATATGCATGAATTTAAGTAAACTAACAAAAATGTGTACATTTATTTTTTACAAATTAATATTACCATGACGTCATGATTTAATCTATTTTAACAAATAAATGATATTTCCGATGAAGTAAAAACTTCAGTTTTAAAAAACTGCAAGAAAGAAACAGCTAGAAATGACTGAAGGAGCAAGGTCTACTAACAAACAGCCATTTGACTCAGGGGAGTAGGTAGGAAATGTGGATTTATTGCCACAGCTTTCTTATGTTGATAGAAACATTTGACATGGATCATTATCATCAACAATGTTACTGTTTCCCAAACATGTGCTAATTACAGTCCCTCCCTCCACCGGAACTATCAGATGGTCATAAATAGAGATATCCCTTGTACCTAACGACATTATATTATGCAATAGTTCAGTTTATACCAATAAACAAAAACCACCAAACTTTTACATAATTGTTTGTTTTTGTTAATTTTTTTGTTGTTAAAATTTGAACATGCTGTGCTTATTGGGTTAATTTTTGTCCTGTCCAAATTTCACAACGTGAAATCCAATCTATAAATTATGAATTGTGTCAAATGACCAGCTGATTTCAGCCTATCCAAAGCCCTCCTCCCACCCCACCAAAGAACGCAGAAACAGGCTTCAGATTGACAACATGATACAGACGTCATCAACGAGACTTCTAGCAATCATACATGTATATGCCAGCACTATTAAGTGTTGAGAATTGAGTACCGCTAAAGCCGGTGCTAGGGGGCGTGAGGGATGTTGCACTTATTCATTATCACTTATGTACAGACTCAATCAAACCGAGTCTGCAATTCTCTTGTTATTTTGTTGTGATTAATGCTTCCGAGGGATCGCTTTGTTTCCAGATTTTTCTAGAGCGAATCGGGATAGACGCTAATGTGGTTAATTCTGGTGGCAAGCATAAATAAACCTAAAACAACAACAACAACAGCTGATTTCCGGTATACCCTCTTTACAATTTTGTTCCAGGGTACAACAAAAAACAAAGAGGATTTAACAATTAACAGTTTTAATTTGAGCAACATGTAATAATGAACACATTTAAATTGCTGAAAGACAAAAATATAGTAGAAAATAATGTGAAACTAACTCACTGGCATAAAATATAAACAATATCAACTGTAAAACTTTGCAAGAATCAAAATTATGGGCAACATTATAAACATCTGTGATGATATCCAATGTGTAACATAGATCCACATAAGAAAACTGTTTAATTCACGAAATAAGTTTATCATCTCTTTTTATTTCAAACAAAGTTAATAAAATTTCAGTTTTGCTATTACAAATGTATATTTAACTTTATTCTAAACTTTTGATAATGAGAACTTTTTAATATTTCATAGCAACCTTAAGAACAACTAAGTCAAGATAATTTTCAATGTCAAATAATAATAAAAAATGTTTTTATTGCTAAACATCAAAAAATGTTTGAGGTACAAAAAGAACAATATCTCTGAAAAAAGAGAGAAAAAAACCAACAACTTTTTTTGAATTTTCAAGTTTATACTGGGTACTGGTATATCTTTATAATTCTCTTTTCTATCTCTTATATATGTAATACTCCCTTTTTCCCTGATGAAATGCTCTGCTTTGAAATTAGATTGTTCATTATATTTTAAGCAATTTGGTAACAATACAGGTATTACTAAAACCGGGGAAGCCAAAAGTATCTAACCTGGTGACGAATTCACTGATTTAAACTTTTGTGTAAAAATCATGAAAAAAAATGTCTAAAGAAATCATGTTTTCACAGTAAAGTTCACAGTACCACATAAAATCCCTAATTTTTAAAGCAATAACACAACACAAATAAAAATTGTAAGCAAGTTCAGATGCTGAAATATTGCCATTTGCTCTGATCTTGTCCTCGTGGTGCATACTAAATGAGAGTTCAAAACTTATTGTGTATCTTATAAAAACTTAAGTATTTCAAAAATCACCATTTATCACAATTCAAGATTCAAGTTTATTTACCAATTTTTACATTTCTTTCCTTCTTTTTGATTTTTAGTGTTTTTTTTATCAACTATGGACCTTTTGGATATTTAAATACATGTATTTCAAATAACTCATTTTATTCTATCTTTCTTCTAAAATTGTTAAAAATACATTTTATGAATTTAACTCAGATGAGAAAATGATAAAAATATCTTTCAAATATTTTACGAATCAAGCTCTATGTTCTTTGTCAATCAATCAGATGTTATAATGAATTTGCCCTGCTTAAATATTGGAAAAGCCCATTCAATACGAAAATACAAAACCTGAGCTACTTATAGTATAGAACCTCTTCAGAGTTAGACCGCTTGAATAAGCAGGCTGGCCTCAGTCAATAATAGCAGCAAAGGCCCAGCAGGATGAACATACTGATTTTTTTTTTCCAATTTGGCAAAAAATCTTGTTTTGGTTTCAAAAAAATATAAATTCATATATATATAAATATAAATGTTGTACATTTCACAATGAGGTAATACAAGTAAAGCTTATAACACATTCATTTGACATAGACTATCAACTATTTAGCTCTGTAACTGGGTCAAGGGGAGTAACCCAAGAACTTCTTAAAAACAGTAATGCCAGTATTATCTCTCTTTGAATCATAGTATTACAACCTGTGAAAATTAAAGATAACAAATAAACTTTTGGGTAAAACTATATACAAACAATGTAATATAAACAGATTCCTTTTAAGACATTTACATTGATGACTAATGTAACGTATTTCAATATTTTTTCTGTAAATACCTTAACGGCTTGTACATAAGAAATATTTTGTTTAAGATTAACTGACAACTATATTGTATTTCATTAAGTAAATACTTGTTTTAAAGCAACACATCTCATGAATCATGCTGATTTTATAAAAACAAGAGCTGTCAGTGGGACAGCATGCTTGACTATTCTCAATGTTTGATAATAAAACAAGAGCCCAAGATAACGTAGAATTTTCAATAGTGCCATAATCCTGTCAAAATCAATGTTACAAGTGTGGGCTTTGGACCGTGGCCTCCTATGATGCTCTCAAATAAGTGTGTAAAGTTTTTCAACCCGGTATGGGTAGTTTTGGAGATACAAACTTGCACTTTTAAACCTTAACCAGTAAGACAAGGACACAATGCCTTTGCGAGTTTACAAGTTTTCCCTTTTCCAGTTATCAAATAGTCCAGGTTAAAACAATGTGTCTGTACATATAATTATATCAATTATGATTTTAACAATTTTTCTTTTTCTTTGCCAAACTTAGAAGAAAAAAAATTATTACATGTATTATGATAACAGTAGTTGGAATAGAAATGAACACCATGAAATATGAATAGCCTGTTAAAACATATTAAAATATAACAAAAAAATTATTTCAACTATTAACAATAAAATAATGAAAATCAAATGGCTACTTGCACTGTAGCATGGTTAATAAATAAGAGATATTATACATGTAACTATAAATTTCACTACTCAACCATATATACAAAGTTTTCTGTGCTCATGTCTACATTATATCATATTAGATTTATTCTTAAGCATTGTATGCAGTGTTAAAACTCATCTGTTATAACTGGTAACCAATTTTTCAAAATAATTAATATTCTATGTTAAAAAGGAACATAACTCATAAAAATATTGTTTTCAGGATAATGCCCCTTGTCTCTTACACCTGCAGCTTGTCATGATAAGCAAGAATGATTATGTGTTGATAACTATTTAAGTGTTTGAATAATGTTACATTTTAAAGTTTTGCTTGACAACAACAACTCATCCACCATAATTAAATGGCTAGACTTTTTTTTTTTAACAAGTTAGAAATAGTTCTAATATACATAGTCTGAGATTGGAAAACATGTCAAAAGGAAAATTGGTTAGGTTGAATTCAGACAATTATATTCCTCAACCCAAATACTTTATGACTAGAACATAGTATTTTTTATCGATATACAAAAAGGAGGTACCAACTAACCTATGGGGTCACTTAAATGCAAACATTCTTATAGTTAATATACTGTGTACAAACCATCAAATAAACATTTAAATAAATGCTAAATACATGTCTACAATTTACAAGTAAAAAGGCCTGTAAGACTTGTACAAGACCATTTTGAACACCTTTATCACAAAGTAAATGGATATAACATACTGAATGAGAAAAAAAAACATGTTAAAATAGTGAACAAATCTAGTAAAATTACAACGTAATTTCCCTGCAACAGACTGAACACATTTGAGCCACGTCACAATCAAACCAACATAATGGGTTTGCGACAAGCATAGATCCAGACCAGCCTGCGCATCTGCGCAGTCTGATAAGGATCCATGCTGTTCGCTAACAAACCCTATTACAAGTAGAGAAACTGATAGCGAACAGCATGGATCCTGATCAGACTGCGTGGAGGGGCTGGCTGGTCTGGATCCATGCTGGTCGCAAACTCACTATGTTGGTTTTGTTGTGCGCGGCTCATTTTATAACCCTCCAATGAAACCTCTGACTAGTTGTGATCAGAATCTTTGACTTGCTTCTGAAATCCTTTCAAAATTTCACTTACTGGTAGTCTGAAATCCATATGATATACCCGCTTTTGAGAAGAATAACTTTTTTTTTTAAAGGAAAGCACTAATTTCTAATTGTATCTTCAATTAATGAACACATATAATATCTATTATCACAATGTGTATTAACAATTTGGGACCATAAAACTACAGTAACACTGCGTAATTTTTTTATCACATTTATCATGATCCCCGCAAGCGTGGAATAAGTTGCGGCACATCTGTGTAATTTCCAACATTTGAATAAGAGAACACAGTGTTACATGGCTGATTGTACGGCATGGGATGTCTCGAGTAACTATAACTTTCAGCACATTTTGGTAGGGGCACATTACTAATTGTTGTGTTTATGGTCGAGGGATAACTCCTGTACATCTGAGATGAGGGGAGGTAACTTATACTTGGCATAGCACTAGGTTGATAAAAGCTGGCAGACTTGATCAATGAATCCTGCTGATGTGTTCTGAAATATAAATAAGTGAATAATTAGAAAATCAAATTGACAGATTGTTATCTAGTTATGGCTTTCTTTTTTAAGCCGCTTTTTAACATTTTTGTTTTCATCTGAAGCGGCATTCATGTCATGTCATAGTTTATAAATGGGTACATTGAAGACCTTAAGCTAGCTGTTAATCTTATGAACTCAAACTTAACTTTTTGAACTTGAAAATAATCGTAAGAATTTATAAAAATTTAGAGAACTTTTATAAATTTCCATATTATCTACATTCATATGGCTTTGACAACATATCTAATCAATCCATACCCAACTTCAGGCATTTGAGCACTAAAGTGACATGATTCCTGCATTTCCACACTAGTGATCATTCTAGAGCGGAATGGAAGGTGCCCTAAATTCAAGCTACCAACAGTATAAAGCCTTTTCAGAGATCATACTGTGCAGATGTGCAGGCTGACCTAGCTCTTTACTGGTGGCCAAAGCTAAATACTTTTTATTCCAGCACATTATGGATAAACATATCATTAAATCTTACCCTAACATGCTTTGTAAGCATGGTAATAATTGTTCGAGGTAGTAGTCGGTCATTAATTCCATCTGTTTCGGCCAGGTTGGTGTTAGATGTAGACAGATTCTTGCGGCAGCAACACAAGATGCAGCTACTAAGGATGGAGCATAAATCCTGAACATATGATCTGTAATTATATAACATTTCCAATAAAAAAAATTACAAGTCCAAAAGGATTTTTTGCAATTTTTGCCAAATAATTGATAGACAAATAAGTTACATTATTGTATTTTAGAAATTGTTAAGAAAGGCCAACTTTAAACTTATACAGTACAGTTATCTACAGAAAGCTAAATGCCAGCTCTGAACTTAAATATCACAGAGTAATATCCACAAGTTGTCAAACAGCATTTTTGTTATGGCTTTGATGCCAGTTTCGGACAGTATTATAGATGCCAGTGGTGATCTGAATTATGAACCTACACTGACTGATACTCCTCATGCTGTATTAACGACTATTTTTCATGTTTTACCAATCTCAATGACCTTGACCTTAGCATTTTTAACCTTAAACACTGCCGAAGGCTCATAATATTATACAATACACCAAACAATTGAGATCAGATCTAAGTGAATAAATTATGGTAATACAAGAAAATAGGTATGGTCAAATCAGTCATTACACAAGAAAGGTACCTTGTAGCACTATTTCCTGGAAGTAGAAGGCATGTTTCTCAAGATAAGTTTCTACAGTAGATTTTGATGTTATAGGTATACCATCTCTTAAATCATCCTCATCAACTGCTACCTACAATAACAATCATATCAAAATGTTATGCAATGTTTGACAATAAAGCAGAAGGTACATGTATATATAATGTTAATTACAGATACATTAATATATGAAAATCATAACCAGCATAAAACTTTTAAGGTATGATAACAGGCATCTCAAAAAATTGAGATTGGTGAAAGAAAATTACAATATTATGCATATAATGTGATAATGTCTTCTGCAAAAAATTACAATTTGAATTTTGAAAAAGAATACTTCCAAAATGCCTGTAAAGTGTATGAAAGAAATATGCCTTAAAAGTATTTGGCGCATGCACAAAATCATTGCTTAATGATTAAAACCCTACTAAGAACTAGCAGCATAATAATTTATTCCAGAATATTTTATTCTGTTTACGTTTCTTTTTCATGTTTGTTTAATAACACAGACATTCTATGTAAAAACTCTCTTGAGAATCGACCATAAGATTATGGAAACTATATAATTATACTGTTAATATATAATTTATATTTGATAAAAATATTACATCAGATATATGCTTTATGCCTTTTAATGAATTAAAATACATTACTTACCTTGAGAAAGTATGGAAGAAAGTTAGGTACAGTTGGTATACATAATTCAAATGAAGAGAATTTGAGTATATTAAGTTCCATGTTGAGGTATTGTCTAGCAGTATAAGGTTGACCGGTGTTGTACTGGGTCACTGGTATATAACTGTTCAATTTGTTATAGTGAGGTATCCTATCACAATGGTCCTCAAATTTTACTGAAAACATACAAGTATATATACAATTCATATTAGTTTATACAAATTTGTTTTAGTTTGATTTGTTTGTGTTGGAAACTATAAACTTAGTGAAACACTCTCAAATCTGTTCCTGGGGCCAACCAGTACTAAGCAATGAATGTAAAGTTCCATATCTAAGCTCATATAATATTATATATATATACAAAATTATTTTTCATATTTACAGCGATTTCTATCACAGAATGTGACAGATCATGGAATAGAGAGCTCTAAAAATATTTTTTTTAGATTAATGACCATGTAATCACTGTTTGCACTTTGTGCGGGTTGATTTCAACCACCTTGTTTCAATTTAGCAAGTTTAACCAAGTTTAATATATATCCAATTTATATCCAGTTATATTTGATTTAATATGAAAATAACTTCGTCATTTTATTCTTTTTTGTATTTATATATCCTTTAATTGCAAATTAAAAATGGCAGTTACTTACAGTAAGGTTTTAAATAATTGAAACAATCATGAATTCATGTTACAACTGCGGTTACAAATTTTACCATGTGACATCACAACTTCTTGCGAATGAATTGTACTTCCATGATATACATGTATATGATTATTTTTTTACTAGTTTAGTAAAATAAATCACCATGAATAGAATACTCAGCATGAACAATGCAGTATTCCCACGAATAATAAATAATATCCAAAGACAAAGTGAAATAAACATTTACAAAGGATACATTTGTATATGACCATTCAAATTGTCAAAGAAGAAACCAGTACCTGCTATAAGTAGACAAGTTAGAGCCATCAAGTGCATGTAACAAAGTTCAACTTCCAAACCATCCATGAAATAATCCAGTAAATAAACTGCTAAATGCTGAGCAGTTGCACATATTCCAATTTCACTGACTATAACAGCCAACCAGTCCACCAGGTGGCGACGTATCCATAGTTGTGATGACTGTGCGTGAAATTGAGGTATTGTTTGTTCCTTGAGTTTTAATGTTGCATAAATATCCTCGGCTAGTTTGTTCTTCCACCACTCTTGCTCTATGGCCATCATGTGACCCATTCACTTAATCTGAAAATGTAATACAAAATGTTTGAATGATAAATCATGAAAGCCACTCTATAAACTGGTGACAAAATCACTTTACCTAAATTAATCTTACTATTCAGGGCTAAGCAGTCAGGTGCCTCAGAGGCAGTCAGTAAGGGTTTGAGTCCAGTCCAGACTTTAACATGTTACTGATCCTGTGACACTTAATAAGAAAATGAATGATAGATGATTAAATCTACCACCTCTTGCACTGTATTAGGGAATTAAGGCTATTTTTATCAAAAATTCATTTAAAGTACTATCTTTTCTTTTTATTTAAAATTAATTACAAATCTTCTTCAGAATTAAATGCTGAAAACATTTTATCTCACTCAAGGCTCTATAAATACTTAGATTATATATGAAGGCTTAAATGCCTAGAAATCAAAAATCAATTTTTACAAGTCTAATCACTCTTAAATCCTCCATTCCGTGAAACAGACCCTTATAATCAAGTTAACTAAAATCAAATTCACACCCTCTATAATACATAAATTTTTATCTGCACTTAATATTTCCATTTTGACAAGTATATAGGAAAAGCATTGAAATCAAAAAATAATTCGCACAAAAAAGTATTAACCATATAATCCAGTGTTAGAAAATACAATAATATTATATTCCTTTGAAGTACCGAAAATATTTTGTTCAATAAGAAGCCAATTTAACTACGAGGGTCATTTCACATTGGTAATCAAATGTGCACTGGGCACTACTTTTACAATATTGTGTAATATTACACAAGCAGCTAGCTTGTTTACACAGATTGTTATCTATGACATATTCTACCAGAAAAAATTATGCCCTAAAAGCATACAACTATTATAAGTGATTAGAAAACTTGACAATTCCCATTAATCAGAATGGTGTAAAACACACATGTGTATAATATATATACAGCCTGTCTTATGACTATCATGGGCAATAATAAACTACATTTCGCCATATGTTACAATATTATTGTTACTATATCAGTATGTTACAATATTATATTAAACGTTACTATATCAGTATGTCACTGACATGTCATAAAACTCAAGCCTCTTTCTTTTGTTTAAAGACAGCATGTTAGTGACATATTGCGCAAATAGTATATTTATCAAACAAGAATTCACTATATGATTACTTAAATAATATATTATAGAGCAGTCAGTACACTTTTATTATACAGTAAATTTATATTCCAGTAGCTTTTTATTATATAAGTTAATAAGATATTTCAGATTTAAAATCCCATATCTAAAATGATTAATTTCATGCATGTATTTAATTTATGTTTTAATGAGGGGGTCCATGTTTACGTTTAGGCACAAAAAAGTAGCTGTCAACATGGACATGTCTGACATCAGTCATGCCCTTAGGTTTAATTTGAAGCACAAAAATGGTGATAATTTACCTACATATAATTTCCACAGAGTACAAGCCAAAGGCATTAATTCAAGGTGTACGGACATAATCCCCTTCGGACAAAATCCCCTTCATGTATTTTGGTATATCTGGACATAATCCCCTCCATCGGTGGACATAATCCCCTTCATGAAATTGCTACCTAGGACAAAATCCCCCTCGGAGGAATTTTCGGTTTATAAAGTGGGTATGAGAGCGACATACTGCATTATGCTGTGTGGTAAATATCTTAATGTATAAATAAGTAGAAATTACATTATTTCAGCAGAAAAGCACATTCAATTAGCACATTTTAATCACATTAAAATTGCTTTGTTAAAGAATTCATAACAATCAATCAAGTAGTGCAGTAATCTATGTTTGATTAAATTATCACTCTTTCATCAATAGAAATTGTAGAATGGATAGTATATATCAATTAGAATTATCAACTTATACAATCAATAAAACAATTATTGGCTTATAAAAATGTTTTTCATACTAATTAATTTAAAACAATTAAAGAAATTGCCTAATCAAATATGTGTTATGCAGTTGATAATATACAATAACTTTAATGAAAACTTATAAACTAAATAAAGGTTAACTATTGATACTAGTACATAATTATAAATAAAAAAAAAACAAAAGTTCATTATTCATCAATTTTATGGAGCGTAATAATACATTAGAAACCTATGAAACAAGGGGATTTTGTCCGGGTAGTGAAGGGGATTTTGTCCAGGCTTGCAAAAACATGAAGGGGATTATGTCCACCCATGAAGGGGATTTTGTCCGGCTAGGCGAAGGGGATTTTGTCCGAAGGGGATTATGTCTGACATTCTTAATTCAAAAGTAGGTTCCTTATAAAAGCGTTAAATGAGCACCTATAAGTCAAACAAAACGCAGGGAATCTATTTCAACATTTTCAGGGCGAAAATTCTGCCCAGTTCCCCTTCCTAATTAATATATATTTTATCTTTATATTTAAAAAAACTCCCCCCAAAAACAGAATTATTTCTTTTATTTCCAGTCTATAGCAAACAAGACCCTTAACAACATCATATTGAAATTTGCTTTTTTGCAAAAAAAAAAAAGAGTATGTAATACTTAACAATTACAAAATGAGTATTTTTGTTGACAGACAAAATATACTGTTTTTCTTTTAAAACAACCCAAAATTCCCCTATCTAAGGGCCCAGGACCCAGTCCCCTAACAACAACAACAACAACATAAACTTGATTTAGCTCAAGCAATGATAACAAGCATGTGAGCATACAGCGAATAATACATTTGAACAAAAATACCTTGTGAGGTCACGTGACAGATTGTTTGCTTAACGGGATTGACATTAGTAATAGTGTGTTGTTCCATTTATTTTTTTGAAAAGGACTCTAAATTCTTGTCTGGGAATGTTCCATTTTCGGATATTGGGTGGCTGAAACTAATTTAATAATCTACGCTTTTAAAAGTTATGTAAATTTTGAACACTATTAACACCATTTTTTTATTGTTTTTAAAAAGGAACAGAGATTATTCTTATTGTATTTGTGCAGCCTGAATTAAATCGCTGCATCGAAACCGCATGCTACGAAACCGCGCTATACCCAAAAGGTAGTGTAATCGTCCGCTGTGTAAAGCCTTACCAGGTAACTTCGCGTAAAATGAGTTAAGTAAGATAAATTAATTAATAGACGATTATCAACGAATGATTAGTTTAAATATTCGAAAGATGGATATAAAATGTTTCCATCTTTAGTTGACCCACCTGGTACACCTGATTTTACCTGTGCAGATTTGCCGCTTAAATTTTGTCCAAATTCCAAATTAAAAGCCATAGTTTTACCCTATAAGATCCGTATATTAACTCTGACACTGTTTTTTAACAAAAAGTTATTTGAAATATGAGTTATTTCCACTAAAAACCACAAAATTCTACAGAGCAATTTAACGTGTATTTCACTACCAACTGACCAAAACACAAGTAATCAGAAATTTGAGAAATAACTCCCAATTCCATCTTATCATATATCATAATTTAATATAAACATATCATGTGTTCAAAATATATGAAATATAACATTAATATAATTATCTTTTAATACCTTAATCTAGATTTCCAGTCTAGATGCAGTGAACTTTAATAAAAGTACATTATATACCTGTTTTAAAGGAAATTTTTATCTTCAAGGTGCATGGACAATATAAAAAGTCTATGAACCATTTAAGCATGTAGATTAAAATCATATCCTAACAGGGAGAAATGGTACTTCAGGTACCAACTTTATAATATGTGAAGACTTTTAAATAAGTCCTTGATCAATGTCAAAATATTTCATAAAAAGAAGATAACAATACACTTTACAAGACCTTTTCCCTCTATAAGGCCTGCTTTGGCTAAAGAAAATCCTCTTATAATCATAAAGTTTTCTCCTAAAAATCAAGCAAAAATTGCCTCCAAATCTCACAAATTCTTTGAGAAGTTTTATCATTTCTGACAAGTCTATGGCCAATAATAAGGGTTTTGCTATAAGAAAAACAGATCATCATTTTCTTAGATTTATACACTGAAACAGTCAAAAAGGCACTTTTTGTCTTAAGAACATTTTTTTTAAATATAAACAAATCTTAAACAAAAACGTTATAAGCATAATTACACTATGTCTTGGTCTTTTAAATACTGTAAGTATGTAATATGCATTATATAAAATGATATATATTCATAAGTATGTAACATCATTTAAGATATATTTATAAACAGATTAAGAAAACACATTATTTTACTTTTATACGTTTTAAGTATGATTTTGTCTTAATATAAAAAATTAAAAAAAATATATTTATGTTATTAACATTTTTGTCTTTACCCTTAACAAACATGTTCCTCCGTTAAACATTTAAGATCCATTTATCATTTTAACTATCTAATTAATAACTATACAAGCTTTATATGATACAAATATTTGACCAGAAAATAAGTTCATATTACCTGTCCTGTAATGTATAAGAAGTTCTGACGAAAAAAACTGTTGACCAGTTACTCTGTATAGTATGATATACAATTTTGTAATAGTCTTTTTTTTCTTAACATGTATACAAAATTATGACCAATATCTGCAATTTTACCCACTTATTGCATGCACCATTGACTTTACAGAGTTAAACCCACCCATAGCTTTTTCTTCTACAGTAAAAATATTATAACCAGATTATATATTAGATCTGATAAGGCTGGACACCCCATTGTTAATCACCATGTTTTCACAACACATGTCAAAAACTGTCAAATCACTTAATGGGTATTGCAAAAAGCTTATGAATTTTGGAGGAAATGTGGAGGTTTGTAGGCAACTAATGTCACCTTCAGGGGTTAATTAGTTGGTTAGGATAGACATTCACCTAAAACTACTCAAAATTGTTATTCACAGTATAATGTCAAACACAAAATTTTGTTCACACAAGTTATATCAGTTTTTACACATATGATTTTTTTGGGATAATTTCATTTGAGAGCAATTTTTTGATAATGTGTCATTAATAAACTTCATGCTGAATATTTTGTATTGTGTAAAGTCAATTCTACATTAAGAAAATATGATATAAATATGACACAGAAAAATTTAATAAAGCAATTTCTTCAAAAATATTTCTACTGCAAAAAAATGGTGTGTGTGTGTGGGATTCAGATGTCAGTCAGGAATGTACTCAAGCTCATACAAACACGCTTATGCCAATGGAAAACAAAAATATTCATAATTACAATTTTAATATGTGGAGTGCATTGAATTGAAAATACAAACTATTCAATGAACAGATATGTATTTGCTGCGGGAGGGCTTTTGTCCGCCTTGTTATTTTCATGGGAGGGCTTTTGTCCGCCCTGTCATTTTCACGGGAGGGCTTTTGTCTGGGAGGGCTTTTGTCCTACACTCCTATGGAATTGGGAATTTCAGCAATGTTTTGTAAAAACTGGGAAAAAATGCATGACTTAAATTTCACATTAAGTGTCATTACAAAGCCCTTATTTTCAAAGATTTTAGAACTTGTTATTCAATATTTTTGTCACAGGATGAGAAAAATGTGCAGCCTGACCGGGACTCCAACCCGGGACCCTTGGAATACCGTTCCGCGGCTCTACCAACTGAGCTATCCGGCCGCTTACACATCTTCTCCCCTAAATAGTGAACAGTTCTGAACTGTGTCATTTTTTTTTTGTATCTTTTAATAGGGAATTTTTTCCTGTAGATTGAGAAAATAAGATACTAGTTTCAACTGATAGTATTGGCTGTAAAATAAGTAAGAAAAACTCCCTGATTTATTATACCAGATATTTTTATTACAGATATAATTATACGTCCATAATTATACACAGATATTTATCTATTTATTTATCTGCACTAAAATCATTAAAGATATCTATCAACTCAAATTTACAACTACATTTAATGATTTTATCACTACTAAAACTTTAAATTATTCCCCTTTCACCTCAAACCTGCCAAATTTCTTTAATGGACTTGTCCATCTCCCACTTTTAGAACTGTCCATAATCAATTTGGGTAAAAATTTGCAACTGTCAGTAAACAGTACAGAGCATGGTCAGTCTACACAGTACACAGATGTGCAGGCTGCCCTGGCTTGAAGCAGCATGCCTCCAGATACATGCTAATTTTCCTGAAAATTTTGAAAAGTAAAATACTGCTAACTGAACAAAGGTACAATCCACCACGGATTTATATTACAGGGATCGGAAATTCCCAGTTAACCCTATATAAATGCTTAAATATCTTGTCGTGCACCCGATAAAGGTACATCGATCGATAATTTATCGGCGCTAAGCGAAAATGCCCGTTCGCAACGGTTACCTACTTTACAAAATACCATATAGCTTTTCCATTTATTATCCGATTTTTGAAATTTAAAGTTTATTTTCAAGAAAAATGCTTGTTTAATTCAAATATCTAATTTATTTTTTAAAGATACAGACTATCAGTCCGCAACGACGATTAAGAAATTTACTTGACGAAATCCGCGGTAAATTTACGTTTTTTTATATAAAAAGCAGATATTTGAAATTTATTATTACGGTAACATAATAAATTCAATTACAAAATTAAAAAGAGGCCGATGAAAGTTATTCACAGTTGATCAAAAATGCAATATTTAAGATTTATTTGGTTATATAGTCAAATTAATTGACGCACAATTGTTTTACGGGTAATGTATTGCGGGCTTTACAATTCGCTCAACACGTAAGTAAATTTATTCATTTTTTTAAATACAAGATATTGCTGATATTGTCAATACATGTATTGCCATTTTCATAGGATATTTAAATTTTCTTCATCATTTATATCATTATTATTTTTTTTGTAAATCTGTTTTCAAATGTCGGTGCAGTGAAGTAGACAATCATCGTAACAGTAAAGTACCGGTACTCTCGTGTGGCTGTCTCGATTCCGGCCTTATTTATTTATTTAATGTCACTCAGATATTTTAATTATTTCACTCGTATATTTTAATTATTCTTTTTTTTTTGAATGCCTGTAGAAAGTATTTCTGATATTTTTTAATGTAACGCTAAAAAACAATAAAAATCTTTACAGTTTGAGTCAGTATTATGCGAAATAAAAGTAACTGTTGATTATTTTTTACACATCGCTTAAATTTCTTTGAAGTTTAATTAATTTTGAAGGGGGTTAATTACCAGGTAACGAGTGATAATTGAAAAACTTTATTTTCAAACTTTCATTATCAGGTCACATGTGATAATTTCAACACTCAATCTTTAAAAACAAATAGAATTTGAATGTATATGTTGTATGTGCGCGGTCTTTAACTACAGTCCATGGCATGTTTGGTAAGAAAATGATTCTGAAGAGGATATATATAAATACAATGTAAATCTATTTTCTTTATTAACATTTATAAATGAAATTGAAAATAAACAGCTTAATTTGTATAGTCCTTTCTTTGAAAAATAATGAAAATAAACATATGACAAATAAATCATTTGACGTGAATTGTGAAGGATAACTATGAAAAATCTGTTTCAAAAAAATTTATAAAACAACTGTTCTGTATGCCAATAAAAGTTTCTTCCTTGCCAATCTAATAAATTCATCTATATATGAACGATTGTCTAGAATGATCTGAAAATATATTTAATACACTAATTAGTAGAATGTGTATTTTGGTTAGTTGTCCTGGCATTTCGGCACAATATGTTAAATTATTAATACTCTTATAGAACTTTTTTGCAAGAATGAAACTTAAGCAAAATTTTGCCTAGAAAATGCCAAAAATTTCGACAATAATTCAAAATTACACTCATTTGTAATTTGAGAAAACAGAAAACAGTCTTTAAACTTGCGGCGTAAATAGTCGATATTTGTATCCTTTTGTCGGTAAAATTTGCTAATTTCCAATCAACTGTTGATCAAAGATATTAAATTATCACCTCGTGTTATATCTGGTAATTACATGTATGTAGCGCGTGTATACATTAGTCTGATCTCTATTGCGTGATAATGATCGAAAGTGTTATCGCTGATTGGCTAATCGCTTCACGGGTCGATGTGCATAGGACCGCCTATCTATAGACTGACACGCGCTGACTTATTTGTGTATTTGTGGTTGTAAACAATCGGTAATGTTGATGCGTCCCCAGGCAAAATTAAGCGTACGTGGAATCCTTGCTCTGAAATATTTGCGTCCAGCTGTAATAAACATGCGTACCGGGACGCCGAAATAAGCGTCCCCGAGAACCCTGTACTATATTTATACTAATATACAGGTAGATCAAATAAAAATGTACAAATCATTTGGAAATAATTCACAGAAATAAAGACACATTTCAAACATGAATTTCTTTAAAAGTATTTTAGCAATCAAGAAACATTTTTTTGCAATGCCACCATCAAACCATGTAAAAAATAATTACCTTAATCTGAATCTCGGCAATAATTTATGCTTGACGTAAAAGGGCGTCAAAGTGTAGAGAGTATGCCTAAACAATAAGCGAATATTTTTTAAATTAGGTACTTTTTAACTAAGCGTCGCAGCGTTCTATCGGCATATTTTCATATATTAATACTTTAGCTGCACAAAATAATACTGTATCAATACATTCATATGTGTATAATTTTTCACAAAGCTGCAATAACACCACATACTCTTGTGAAAATATGTCATATTTCACACTAAGAGCGTTCCGCCATCTCACTCTGTCCACCTTTATCCGAATCCGCGCATGCGCGCAATGGGACTTTAAGCTAAACAAAAGTGTCCGATCCTTGTAATATAAATCCGTGAATCCACGTAAAATAAGTAAGCAAAAAAAAACCCTTAGTGCAAAGTAGAAGTATTGTCATAAATACTGCAATATCAGTCATTAATTGCACATGACATGTAAATTATAACTGGAATTTTGAATCTGTTTACTTTTTTTAAAATCTTTGTACATTTTCTCAAGTTTGATTTTCTCGAAATGTTCTGGCTCATCTGGAGGCATGCACAGTACCTTTAATAATTCAGAATATTTGACAAGTAGTAATATATTTTCAAAATTGTAATGAAAATAAACATGAATTTGGTGGCAAGGTGTTTGCCACTATGGTAAAATAAAAATACATAATGTTAAAAAAAAAAGTCAGCCATTTTATTCAAATTTATCAGTCTATATATGCACAATAGCTTGACCATTTCAAGTTGCAAAATGGTTATAAATATTATTCATTAGTAAAAGGAAGTTGGAATGTTAAAAATGTTTGCATTGTATGTGATTTTTGTCAATCATAAAGTGCATACATTGCATTAGGAAAACATGGTGCTATATACAGATCTATAACTGTTAAATTTAGGATCCGTTGGTTACATATCATCATATATCTAGTCAAGATTATAATCTAGCAACAATATTATTATATAAGAAAATAATCATAATTACGAAATATTAATTTTAGGATTGCACAAATGGTGCATGCATTGTATTAGTTAACTGTAATAACCAAAGGGCATGGAATTGCAGGACTGCAGCATATTTAAGATTAATGTTAATGCAATGGCTTTATCCTGGAATAGACCCTGGAGTCTAAACCAGGAGTATATATAAGGTTCATTCCGTTTTCTTTAGTGTATTATGTACAAGTTTTACTTCTGAAATATATAGGTGTCTAATCCAGGAGATTCTGAGTGCTATCAATGAAAGTTGGCATCAAACAAAAATGTCCTAAAAATAAGATTTTGAATAGATGCAACATCTGAGTTTCATTAAAATTTGTTCGCAAACTACAAATATATCTGTAAATAGGCCGATTACAGAAAACTTTACCAAATGTTTCCATGCAGATGACATCAGCTGCAACTTGAATTATTTTCACAGCTGCACTATTCTTACAGTCTACCGTTCAAGCGTCCACGTAAACGAGAAAGTAAAATAGCCGAGTACTTAATTAAAATTTTGAAGTGTTTGAATATATATTTATTGCTGAAACATAAAGCATATTAATGAAAAGTTAAATGGTAATTATATGCAATAATTGCCAGTGTCATATTGTCTTTGTAATAGTTCATTATTAAAGATTTGTTTGTTAAATTTGATCATGGTTAAACAAATGCTTATTGAATATTGTTGTTTGTATTATGTAAGTGTAGTATATTGTGATTATACACCTATTACTTAGTCATACTTTATGACAAGATATATAACTATTCACTAAGGAAATTTGAGTTGGATATAGGTTATATGCGTGGAACCAAGATCTACCCCCAGGGACCTACCTTCAGGGCCCTCTATGCTTAGTACCCAATAATGTAATTTCCAATATATCAGACGTTACAGGCTTGTTATAGTTTAATGTCGGTCAAGCCCAGAAACAAAAATATCTCAATGTGACATCATTTTTATAGGACTACCCAATAATGCTTCAATAACATCCTAGTACAATCATTACTTTTGTTATTTATTTATTTGGAAGTAATTAAATTTAATGAAAGCTAAAATTAAAAATGAAGTTCATTCTTCCAATAGAGTAATGGTAATTCTAGTAAATTACAAAACAAAATGACAAAAAACACTGATTATCATCAATTAGTAAGTTAGTAGCAGGAGCACACTGATTGAGTTACTGAAATTTCTCGCTTATTTATATTATGTGACCCTGCTGCAAGTTTGAACAATTTTTGAAATCATTACTTTTTAGTATGCTGTATTGTAAAGTCTTTGATCAAATATTTATTAAACAGTGTTCATTAGTTTACTCATATACAAACTGATGGAGATGAGGAATGTATGTGACTTTGTACCTGAGTTATGTTTGTTTCTTTATTTTTTTACAAAATATATTTAAATACTAAATAGCATTGAAAGTTCAACAAAACAATTTCTAAAATACATAAATTTTGTCATAAAATTACAGACGATTACCAGTGTTTCTTCCAGAGTGCGTTTTTGCATTTAAGACACACTATTTTCAGGCACAACGCAACGAAATTCAGTCAGTGCATTTTCTGTGATGCAGAGGTTTATTCGTAAAGTTTATTGTTTATAATTTAAAGTTTGTGGTAATCTAGTCCAAAATATTGATAGTCTAAGTTGGGCAAGCCTTAGAAGCAAACATATCTCAAAGCGACGTCGGAATTATAGGTCTAGTGGCAGTCATGCACTACTCTGTTTTTAACGACTTTCACACATGTTAATTGTCTGTTAATCAGAAAATATACCCTTTAAAACAAAGTAAGTAATTCCAATTATTGTCAAGTCCTCTTTTAATCATCCCATTTCAGCGTTTTTTATCCCCCGCCGAAAATTTTCGGCGGAGGATATAGAAATAGTCTCCGTCCATCCGTCCGTCCGACCTTCCGTCCGTCCGACCTTCCGTCCGTCCGTCCGTCCGTCCGTCCTTCCGTCCGACATTTTTGTCCGGAGCATATCTCTAAAAGTATTTGAGTTATCAACTTGAAACTTCATAGGTGGATAGACCTCATTGAGGAGGAGTGCAGTGCACAAGAATGATAACTCTACCTTGCATGATTTTTGAGTTATTGCCCTTTGTTATTTTTCAAAATTGATTTTTGTCCAGAGCATAACTCCAAAAGCCTATGAGATATTAACATGAAACTTCATAGGTGCATAGATCTCACTCAGGAGGTGTGCAGTGCACATGAATGATAACTCTACCTTTCATAATTTTTGAGTTATTGCCCTTTGTTATTTTTCATACCTAACTTTTCACCTGAGTGGAGCATAACTCAAAAAGTGTTTGAGATATCAACATGAAATGTCATAGGTGGATAGATCTTATTGAGGAGGAATGTTGTGCGCAAGAATGATAACTCTTCCCTATACAATTTTTGAGTTATTGCCCTTTGTTCTTTTTCATGCTATTTTGTCCAGAGCTTATCTCAAAAAGTATTTGAGGTATCAACTTGAAACTTCAAAGGTGGATGGATCTCATTGAGGAGGAGTGCAGTGCTTAAGAATGATAACTCTACCCTGCATTATTTTTGAGTTATTGCCCTTTGTTATTTTTCAAAATTAATTTTTGTCCAGAGCATAACTCAAAAAGCCTTTGAGATATCAAAATGAAACTTCATAGGTGCATAGATCTCACTCAGGAGGTGTGCACTGCACAAGAATGATAACTCTACCTTTTATAATTTTTGAGTTATTGCCCTTTGTTATTTTTCATACTTAATTTTTCAATTCAATTTTTTTCTCAAAAAGTATTTGAGGTATCAACTTGAAACTTCATAGGTGGATAGATTTTACTGAGGAGGGATGCAGCACACAAGAATGATAACCTACCCTGCATTATTTTTCAGTTATTGCCCTTTGTTATTTTCAGCCATCAGTATTCACATAGGTTTCAAATCTGTAATCACTATAGCCATCAGTTTTCATTACCAAAAGACCTCTTAAAATAAAATTATTCTGTTCTACTTCATATACATTCTTCCAATGAGCAAACACATTCGGCGGGGGATGGCCATGTTGACATGGCTCTTGTTTTCTCTACTTTGGGAATGGTGCCGGTACCAGACTGATTGGGAAAAAAATGCGTTATTTTGACTAAAATTGGGAAATTTTTAATGCATTTTTTCAGCTACAAATGAGATTAGACATCATGAATAAGGATAGCTAACAGCTTTTACTGTCAAAATAGAACTATTGAGTGGTGATTTATATGAATATGTTGGATTTAAATGATCTTAGAAAAATCACTTGGCCTTGTGGGCATTTTGAACAGCCATTTTGGGAATTTAACATTGGAAATTGGGAATTTTAATGTCTATTTTCTATTGGGAATGGTACCGTTTTAGGGTAGTAGTTATATAAAGAGAAAAAACACTGCATTTTTATAACTACATAACCCAGTATAAATAACACACTTAAAATGTATACAGGTATCAGTGATATAGTGTCTACTCCCTACTGCCAAATATGGTAAGCATGATGCAACCGTGTTAACAATTATAAACACGCTGATAGAAAGTGACAGGCGTAATAGGAGTAATTTCTTTACAATTATCACCATTTACGGAGAACCTGCGGATGATTTTTTATGCAACATATTTTCCCATTTAATCTATCAATGGTTGAATGAGTTCTAGAGGTAGAGGCTAATTAATTATCATCTTTAATTTTGTCCAGAATGAAACTGTTTAGTTTAAAATGAATGCATCAATAATCATTGTTTTTGTTTTTTGATGTTCTGAAAAAAAAGAAGAGGAAATGTTTGAACTTTTACGGCAAATTAATTTTTCCTTTGCAGCTTTCAATATACTTAAAATATATTGAACTGGTTTTTACTCAAGGTCACAAATGACCCTAAAAAATTTTCAATGACCTCTAAAATCTATCTTGCTTTTATTTATTTAAATATGTAGAAATACGCTTGTGAACATCAACTTAAGTTTGTCACCAGCGTGTCTTGTTATCTATTATATATATCATAGTGACCTCAGGGCTTTTTTTCCTTCTATAGCAGGGGCCATTTAAGGGTAGCTTCCCCAAAGAAAATTTTTAAAAATCGTGCAGTTTTTTGCAAAAATTGAAATTACATCAAGTTTTTTCTTCCCCTTTTGCAAATAAGCCGTATAATTTTCTCCAAAAGTTAAGGGAAGGGCTGCAGGTTTTTTTTCTCCAGGATTTTAGGAATATGACCCTGGTACCCATGGAATTGGGAATTTAAGAGATGTTTTGTTAAAAATTGGGAAAAAAATGCATGACTTAAATTTTGCACTGATTAGATGAATGCAAAGGATTACTATCAAGGATGGCATCTTCAAACATTTAAACACCATAACAGCGAAGAAGCCCTTATTTTCAAAGATTTCGAATTTGTTATTCAATAATTTTATTTTGTAACTTTCAATTGGGACTTTTTCTGTGGATTGGGAAAATAAAATACTATTTTCAATTGGGAATATGACCGAATATTGGCTATAAAATAAGCCCAAAAAATTCCTGGGCTTCTTCCCCAACCAATGAAAAAAAGCCCTGTACCTATAATGTGTTGGTGCAACATAAAACCCAACAAAAAGTAAAAAAAAAATCAAATATATTGCTGAAGATCACATTATTGAAAATGATCACAATGTACATGATACACTAATTGGTGCATTACAAAGTTTTATGCTGCTTGCTTGATTTTTTACTTAAGCCTGAAGATTATCTTTTATTGTGACAAAGAATACATCATCGGAAACATTTCAAATCAAAGTCTACTTGTAAACCTGTAATGACCATATAGTTATGTACAGCATGGATTTGTTACTGAATTTTATCATCTTTACAGAGCTTTAAATGTGATATGGAAAATGGACAGCTACATGTTGATTCTGTATGTGACCTTAAATCAGGAAGAAGCAATTAGAAAGCTGTTCTATGAAGAAGGATGGAAGTATATCAAAGAAGGTATGATTCATTAGATTTAACATAGTATTTGTTTCTGTTGTTTTAAGTCCAAATGACACTGAATAGATGTTGCTCAAATATTGACTTCGGAGATTTACTGATGGAGGTGGACCTCATTGCTCCTTTTATAGAGTAATTTTATGCATGGTCAGTAGGGTAGGACCACAAGTCTTCTGTATAAGCTAAATAGGTAGCATCCTTACATGAAGTAATTCACAGTTCCTGGTGGAATTCAAACACAAAAAGGTTTATGAGCAAGACGTGATTTACTGGAAGCAACCTTACCCAGAAGACCTCAGAGATCTCAACCCCTAATTGTTAAGAATACCTGAAACAACAAAATTTGAAGTCGTTAAAAAAAAATTATGTACATTGTATTGTGTGAATAATGTAAAATGATTTACTATTTCAGATGGAGATTTAACAATTGTTCGAAGTGATGAACTTCATGGAACTATTTCTGCTGGTGTTAATGATGACAATAGTGCAGGTAAGAATTAGTAAATGTTTATCACTTCCTTACATGAATGAATTTATAGGCCATAGCAGAATTCAAACCCACATTATAATGTTCTAGTGTCATGTTATTATTATTAATGGACATATACATGTAAATTTATTACTAAAAGTTAGACTATAATTATTTTTTTCAAGCAATACTTACAGTGTTTTTACCTGTCTTATATTAGTGCTATAATGCCATTATTTGTGACTATAGTCTTCTATAGTCTTATTTCATACAATGAAAATTTAACTGTAAAGGGGGAAAAGTTGAATTTTTTGTTGGAAAAACCTTATTGAATAGTCTCATACTAGTTTAATGTCTGTATCTCATGTTTTTAACTCATTGTCAATACAAAAACAATTTGACAAGCATGAATTTCCATTTACAATTTGCAAAAAAAAAGTTACTTTCTGGCTTTGTGAATTTGGCCCTTCTGAAAATGAATACTGACTGATATTGAAGGCTGTACCAATGACACAAAATTTATTATTTTGATTGGGTTTTTCAGATGTTAGTACATTCCATTTTGATGTTTCTTGCCCAGAGGAAAATGAAAGTGGAATTTTAAAGAGCACTATTGAAACATGTGGAGATCAGAATAGAAATTGTAGCGTTGAAAACCGGGATAATGATATTGTATACAACTGTAATAACTTTAAAACTCAATGCCAAAGCAACAACATAGAAAATGGTACTCAGCACAAGAAAAGTTTCACAGAAATTAAAGTTAATAGAACAGTAAATGGTAATGATTGCCATTATGATAATGTTCAAGCTGATTTTGTTGACAATGGTAAACAAACTAGATGTAATGAAAACGATATGAAAGAATATTATGTTAAAGACATACAGGGACAAAATTTTGAACAGGGTTCTGCAGAAGATGGTTTAACAACGAACAAACAAGATTCTGATTGGGATTATTTATCTGACAACGGACAAGATGATGATGATGTTAGTAAACTTAAAACAAAAACTGGACATGATTCGCATTCTATTGGGACAGATGAAAGCTCTGTCGATAAACTGAAACATTTGATATCCAGAGGAAAGCTGTTATCCATCGAAAACAGAAAGAGACTAAAACAAGAAAGAAAAGCTTTACGACCAGCAAAAAAGCGCAAAAAGTTGGATACATACAAATGTAAAATTTCATCGAAAAAGAAGCCAACCTTCTGCTCTGATTGTAAAGTTACATTCACGTCACAGAACCGATATGATAAACACAAAGAGCGTAATGGTGGACAGTGCGTTTTTCCATGCCAGTATTGTGATAAAGTTTTCTTGTATAGGAAATCACGCTACGATCTCCATGTGAGATCAGCACACTCTAAAGAACGTCCTTTCAAATGTGATGTATGTCAGAAAGGGTACATAACTTCTGATAAACTGAAAATCCACAAGCGTGTTCATACTGGTAAAATTATTAAATGATATTTTTAAGGCTCATTATACCATAGAATGGCTTTTATTTTTATTTCTGAAATATTTGGTTTTGGTGACCTGATATACATGTAGTTTTTTTTCCAATTACCTATACCCTCTTTCGCTTTTGAAGCTTTTTGAAAATATAAACAATAGAGCTAATAGTGATAAAATATTCTGTATGGAAGTCAAAATACTTTGTTTAAATTATCAAATAAAAAAACTCTTCAGGACTAAATGTTGTACTTATAATTACTAGTAAGGTTTTGGTCTTGATTAAGGAGTCTGACTGATCTGTATTTTAATATTTTACAGTTGTATAGCATTTAAATTAACAATCTGTTCATACAATACATGAATAACAATTTTATTATGATTGTCTATATGAGCCGTGTCATGACAAAACCAACATAGTGCGTTTGCGACCAGCATGGATCCAGACCAGCCTGCGCACCCGCGCAGTCTAATCAGGATCCATGCTGTTCGCTATCAGTTTCTCTACTTGATATAGGGTTTGTAAGCGAACAGCATGGATCCTGATCAGAATGCGCAGGCTGGTTTGGATCCATGCTGGTCGCAAACCCATTGTGTTGGTTTTGTCATGACGCGGCTCATATATTTTCTAGGTGAGAAGCCATGTGTTTGTGAAGAATGTCTATATATTTTCTAGGTGAGAAGCCATGTGTTTGTGAAGAATGTGGGAAAGCATTTTACAGTCGTGGAGACCTGTCTTCACATCGGGAGTACCATCATATATCGAAGGAGAGACAAGATAATCTGACATGTGACCTCTGTAACTTAACCTTCTGTAACCAGCGTTACCTCACATACCATAAAAATGTTACACACAGTACAAGACGCGACTTCCATTGTCAGACGTGCTCGAAAAGCTTCAAAAGTAATTCATCATTAAAACGTCATCTCAAATATATACATTCTGAAGTGAAGAATTTCAGATGCGATGCTTGTGATAAAAGTTTCAAAACTGCAGGATCGTTGAAAAAGCATAAAGTCCGACATGGAGGGGAGAGAACTTTCTTCTGTACGGAGTGTAACAAAGGCTTTTATGAGAAAGCCAAACTTGATCAACATATTCGTACACACACCGGAGAAAAACCTTACAGTTGTCATCTGTGTGAATACAAATGTGCGCTCTCAGGAAATCTCAGTAAACATATGAAAACTCACTATAGAGAGTTAACAAACGCTGTGTTATAACGTGCTTCCACAAGTTGTCACAATCTCAGGACTCCTTTTTTTTCACATTTGTAGCATTGGTTTTCATTGGTCAGTCATGATGTTTTTATTTTCTATATACACTGTCACAGCTACTTCAAAAAAAAATTTTTTTTTTCTCTGATTAAATCTTTCATGCAATTTTTAATACTTTTTTCACATTTGTAACATTGATTTTCATTGGTCAGTCATGATGTTTTTATATGGCCCCATAGGAAAGGTTGTTTGCTTACATGTATATAGCTTAAGCAGCTAGGTTATGATAGTTCATATATACATAAAAATTCCTAAAAAATAATTTTTTAAATCGACGTTACACATGTGCACTGCAGTATTATAAGGCAATTTATAAAGGCTCATTTGCTCTCAACTGTTCATGACACACCATTTAACCTGTCAAAAATCTTCATTTAACTAATGATATAATATTTATATACTTGTAATATTTATCACATTATACAAGTGTTAATGTCAGAAATAGAAGATATTGAATGAGTGTATAGGTTTAATACTAAATTTATTGAACAAGTTGAATAAAATCATATTATGCAAGCCTCTGGTGAGCATAATATTGTTTTATTCTACGAGTTCAATAAATTTAGTATTGAATCTACACAAATATAATATTCTATTTATCACATAATATAAATAAGAACGGTAAACTGTTAAAAAGGGTCATTTTAATTGACGCTCCTATATTGTAACGCTAACATTAACGCGCTTTAACGCTATGTTTATATATAACGCAAATGACGTCACGTCAGTGTTATTACACTAGTGTAATATGGTTTTTAGCTTGACTATTCGCAGAATAATCGAGCTAATGCAGTCACCCATTTGTCGGCGTTGGCGTCCCTGTGGTTAAGTTTTTCCATGTAAGCTGGTATCTCCATAACTACTGAAGGGAATGGATTGAAACTTCACACACTTGTTCTCTGTGATTATCTTAGATGATTGGCACAAGTCCCATAACTCTGATTTGCTTTTTTACATAATTATGCCCCTTTTTCGACTTAGAAATTCTTGGTTAAGTTTTTGCGTGTAAGCTGGTATCTCCATAACTACTGAAGGGAATGGATTGAAACTTCACACACTTGTTCTCTGTGATTATCTAAGATGATTGGCACAAGTCCCATAACTCTGATTTGCTTTTTTACATAATTATGCCCCTTTTTCGACTTAGAAATTCTTGGTTAAGTTTTTGCGTGTAAGCTGGTATCTCCATAACTACTGAAGGGAATGGATTGAAACTTCACACACTTGTTCTCTGTGATTATCTAAGATGATTGGCACAAGTCCCATAACTCTGATTTGCTTTTTTACATAATTATGCCCCTTTTTCGACTTAGAAATTCTTGGTTAAGTTTTTGCGTGTAAGCTGGTATCTCCATAACTAATGAAGGGAATGGATTGAAACTTCACACACTTGGTCTCTGTGATTATCTAAGACGATTGGTACAAGTCCCATAACTCTGATTTGCTTTTTTGCATAATTATGCCCCTTTTTTGACTTAGAAATTCTTGGTTAAGTTTTTGCGTGTAAGCTGGTATCTCCATAACTACTGAAGGGAATGGATTGAAACTTCACACTCTTGTTGTCTGTGATTATCTAAGATGATTGGCACAAGTCCCATAACTCTGATTTACTTTTTCGCATAATTATGCCCCTTTTTCGATTCATAAATTCTTGGTTAAGTTTTTGTGTGTAAGCTTGTATCTCCATAACTACTGAAGGGAATGTATTGAAACTTGAAGGGTTTGTACCTTTTCAGACAATTTTATGTATTCATATAGGTAAGCATTATTATACTCAATGAAACACCCTTGTGACAAATTTTCGAATAGTCGAGCGTTACTGTCCTCCGACAGTTCTTGTTTAGACTTTAAACTGAAGTTCAATGCATTTAGTGTTTTTCATTTCAAAATTCAAGGTAGGTTACACCTACTTACGGATTATTTGTAGAATTTCTGCACCACTCTTATTTATTGTTTTGAAAATAATTATATTGTTATGTCATTTGAGATCTGTTTTGCTCTTTTATATATTAATAATGATAATTATCTTTTATGCAGTGCAGTTATTGTATTAATTTTTCTGTATTTGATTTACTCTTCTCAAAATTTATTTGTAGAATATCAGCTTTTAGGGAACATGGAAACAGCCTTGTTACAAAATTCCTAAAATAGCTTTTAGGCAAATTTGATTTTGTGTTAAAAATCTCAATACTATATACATACAATTGTTTACTATACTCATTATTATCTTTTATATATTTTACAGCAGTTTTATTTGCATCATATTCTTGAAATCAAATCATTTTTTAAAAGTATTTTTGCATTTATTGTTGCACTTGTTATTACATATTTAAAAATGTGACTACACTTATTTAGTCGTTTCTAAAATATCTCGTATAGAAGAGTTATTTTTAGTTATTTCTTTTTTTTTTCCTGACCATGAAGCCAAAATGAAACAGCAAGAACAAAGGTTCATGTAATTATCTTTTAGCTCACCTGTGTGCAGAAGTGAGCGTTCGTTGCCTTTCTTTGTTTGTCATTATCCACATTTTCTGTAAGCACCATTTCTTCCTGAACCACTTGATGGACTCTGACCAAATTTCACAGGAATGATTTTTAGGTGGTCCTCTGCAAGTTACATAATAGGTTCCAGTCTGATGCATAAGTAGGTCATTTTGACCTTGACTATCATAACAGTTTTTTACCAATAACGTGGGTACCAATTGGTCCTTGGCACTCAAACATGCATTGGTCTTGGGCAGTAGATGACCCCTTTTGCATTTTGGATTGAGGGGTCAAAGGTCAAGGTCACTTTGACCTTGTATGTTAAAATGGTTTCCAAGCAACATTCATGTTTTACAAACATCTCTTGTTTATAGATACTTGTATAATAAAAATATCTTAAAGACTTCTTCCCAGAAGTTACAATGCCTATAGGTTAGATATTTGGTATGTAGCATCAACTTTTGGTCCTCTTCAAAAGTTATATAAATCATGCAACTTAGTGTCAAAAGTTGCCCTGTCTGGGGTTACTTATTTTTATATTGACTTGATAGTACATTTAAGTATTCTTCAATGAAAGTGTTATACCTAGAGCTTAGATATTTAGCATGTAGCCTTACCAAGTTAACCTCTACAATATTTGGATAAATCATGCCCCAGGGGTTAAAATTTGTCCCTCTCTGAGGTCAGGTAGTTTAATACTTTTATAGTGAAAAATGTAGTAGATGTTTGTCATAAAGCATTTCATAGCAGAAATCTACAGGTATTTTAAAAATTATGCGGTTAGGTTAAAAAATGGCAAGCCTACATTACTGACTATCTAAAAGTCATGACTTTTTCTAGTAATGAATTTCAGGTGAGCAATCCATTGCCATCATGACCTTGTTTTTATCCCCAATGCTAACAAACAGGGAAATACAACATATAATCATCTTTTCCTGTAACAATGGACCTCATGTCGATCTTCAATAACGATTGCTTTAAAGTGAATGGTTTCTTTTGTGGGTCACGAGAGCTAAAATAGAAAAAAATATCTTTCGAAAAAATTGACTGATAATCAACTTACTTTATCTTACTTGCCTTTGGTATAAAAAAATACTCGTTATTTTCCAACATATACCCTGGTGAGCGATTTTAAGCTCTCATTTCTGAATTGTATCCCTATGTGAATTTGCAGACAAGTGCTTCATGCATATTCTTGTTTGGTATTCTTTTAACTACACAGCGTAAACTTTTACTGAATAATATCCCTAAGTGAACTTAGAAATAATTGATTAAAGTGTTTGGTCATTTAAGGTAAAGAAGATTAAAACAAAGTCAAAACTTGAGTCAGTGCTTTTAATGAAAGGGACTCAGCTAAAGTCTTCTTGTCGTGACAGGACTTTGTTGTATTTGATGTAGGTCTGGGCCAATAGCTTGTGATAGTTAACCAGCATACTTCTTATTGTGAAAAATGACCAAAGAATGAAAAATACTTTTAACTTGATTCGTACTAAGAATTGCACAAAGATTTTTTACATTTAATTTTGAGAATATTTTTTTATTATCATTGTATATCATTCCATTTTAAGTACTCGTGTTAATCTATGACAAAAATTGAAAGTTTATGTTATTAGGCTTTTAGACCTCAGTGATCGAATCTTCGTTCTTTCTGTGTCCTGGAAAGATATACATGTATGTTGCAAAAAGAAAATGCAAGGGAACATAATTAAGTTATATGCATAAGGTATTGTAGAGATTACGTGTTTATTATTCAGAGATGTCAGATCTATAGTTTAGTATTTTTTATTTGTTTTTGTTGTGTTAAAAGCCATACCGATACCTTAATGGTCATACTTTACTGGTTGAGAAAAACCTCATGTGCCCTTGTTGCGCATTATATCAGACACGAGTTGGCATCTGAATAGAACCACGGACGTTCCGTAAGCTAGCTGGATGAAATAAATCTAATTCCCTGGCAGGATAATTTTATTTGGAATTTAATAATTAAAATGCGATGCAAGAATAAAAGAGAACAAACACTTGTCCGATATGTTTGTTTATATTAAATCATTAATTATTTCAATATAGAAGAATATTACATATTAATTATTTATCAGTAGTAATTGAATTTTCAATCAATGACGCCCGTGGGAATAAATCAACGCATTTGATAACACATGCGTCGCGATACAGGTTATTTCTCGTTGAAGTAGTTTGTCTCCCGCCTGAATTACATTATGTTTTTGAGCACACAAAGAAGTGGTTACGAATGAAAAATAATCGATGGTAGTGATTGATTTATCCATTGACTGTAAATATACCGGCGCCCATATACCGGTGTTACACTATTGCACCGTGTGTACATTACCTCTAAAATCATGGATTAACAAAATAATAGACGCATGATTATCTTTTCATTTTATCAGAAAGACACTTTAAAATCAGACAGGCACTTTTGAACACCGAAATGGAAAATCGTCGTGAATAAGAAAGGTTAGTTGGTTTAAGCATTAGCATGGATAAGTTTAAACATTTGGAATACATTTGTTGTTTATTTCGCTAGTAGTTTAAAGGTGTAATTTAAAGCTGGACTTTTTATGTTGACCCAGTGACACGGATGTACTTTGGCATTCAATTTTAGACTCTTAAATTTAGCATTTTTAGTATTTTTTTTATATAAAAATGAAGCAATTATTATAACACAATGTACAATGTACATGTACAAAAGGGCAAATATCAAAAGCTAGAAAACCTTTTATAAATATCAGAATTAACATTCCCTTACGATATGTTATATTTATTTTTCAGATACTTAAAGATCAAATATAGCTGTGGGAATTTATAACATTACAGGATATTTAAATCGGTTATTATTTGGTAAGCCCTTTATTTGTGTGAATATTTATATATAAATGTATTCAAACCGTAAGTCTTTTCATGTGATCAAATTATCATGGGAAATTCTTTTTTCTTTACTTTAAGCTATCAAGTTCTGCGGTTTAAATGGCTTTTAAAATGTTCAAGTAGAAAATATCGCCTTTGTTAAACTGCTATAATAATTGATTTCAGCGACCTCTAGATACTGTTTGTTTGACAGCTATTTTCATTCCACAAGAAAAGGTTTTTATGTTATATCACATTTATCAAAGTTTAAATTTTCGATTATTCATTAACGCTTAACTTTTCGATTTAAAATAACGAATTTAATCTGTTGTTTCTGCATGTCTCACCGGGATTATGTTTACACGATACGTTTGGTAGAATCTAAATTGATCTTGTAGAAGAAAATATGTTATTACATATAACGGATTCATTTGTAATAGAAAAAAAAGTGAGTGTGTTTTTATGCACTATTTGCAGTAACATCAAAGATATATTTTGCGTTAATGTTTATGTTTAAAAAATTTAGTTACTAAATACGCTCGTATAAGCAGAACAGAACATATCTGCTGTTATTGTTTATGTGTTTACTTAAAAAAAATAAAGAAGAACATTTTCGGATAATTACTATTATATCGGACATATTTTGTTGAAAAGAAAGAAACAAACATTATATAAATATCAATAAGTACATGTTAGGCATCAATAGTTTATAGCTGGACATTTGAATTTGTTTTCAAACAATAAGTTTTTGATGTTTAAATTGAGTATAGTGTTTGGGCTTACGGAAATGGAAGTTGTTAGCTTTTAAACCCGCGTGGTCGCCGAATGTGAAGGGGTCAGAAAAGTTCGACCAACACAAGAAATGTTTGTATTAAGAATTCTATCTATATGCTGTAACGTCTCAAATTTACATGCATGTATAACACTTGATAGTCCTTAGTCTTAGGAGAGAGGGATAAATTGCCCTAGTCTGCTTTAGTGTCTGCAGTGGCTTAAGATTTTCCTATATTATGCTTTACTAAATCGAAATGAACTTAATACATATATGGCAGAAAAAATATCGTTCTCAGCTGTAAAACACACCCGCTTTATATCACGCAGACGAGCTATACATCATGGTCACGTCTAATAAAAATCTTAGATAGCAGAACCATCAATATTTAAACAGGTTTACAAATCCATATAAATAAGATAGCTTTATTTGTTTCTCTAGGTAACCCATAATTGTAAAGCAATTGTCACATTTGGTAGAAAATAATTACACCGACATTATAAAAGATTTATAAAGAGTGTACACATTGATTTTGAACGAAAATTTTGTCAAATTTCCATTGATAGACCTCAAAGCCACTTATAGATATTTTGCAGGAAGTAATGAATTTTATACCAAATATGATGTTATTAGTTAATACTTTATTACATAAAACAGTTTATCAGTTTCTAAAATGCTTTCCATGATGCCTTCAGTTGGAATATAATGGTCATTCTGACAATGGACATGAACCAATGAAAAGACAAAATCATGATGTAAAATTTTAAAGCTTTAATACATGCAGAATTACTTTAAAAAAGTTTGGTAATAGACAAAAATAAACAAAAAAGATCTGTGAAGACTCCTCAAGGATGTGAAACTTTTTTTTAAAGTTTTTCTATCACAGTCCTTTTAAAACAAAAGGATTTTTTTTCGGAAAATAGTATATGCTTTTTCAAATGTTTCTTTGGCAAGTGTATAATTTTCTTAACAATATTCTTCTTTTCCAGAAATATATCACAGGCAACATGGTTTATCGAACGAAATAAAACTCTGAAAATGGTACAAGAAAGACAGAGGATGGAAGCGTTGATTGGTCACGTTATCAACGATGCTCCACACGAGAGTTTGCGAGAACTAAACAGGAACATTGACATTGTTGATGACGATATAACAATAGGTACTTAAGTATTCTTTCATTAGCAGTATCTTAAGACGTCTGAGAATCATATGTTCTTTAGCAGACTTTCATTATAAAATATATTGTATTTTTGGTGCACATGGTAGTGCGAATGACAGAAGAAAGTATTTCATGACCAATCACAACTAAACTGACCTGCGCCGTCCGGAACCAGCTCTCTACCTATACTGAACTAACTGACCGGCTTATATTTGGTTTTCCTAACGTCATTTTCTTTTTTATTACAGATTGTACAACGCTTACCAATCACTGTGTCTGCGCAGAAAATTTCGAATACTTCCGGAAACCAGAACACATGCTTCAATGTCTGCGGAAACAGAAATGTTTTCATTGTCAAAGATATCGCTGCATGGACAAGAAACATGAAGTTATCACAGCGTCTACAAAGTTGATACTTATATCGGCTGCAATGGGGAGCTTTGAGCTTTTTTGCTTTTTACATAGGCATGGCTGTTGCCTAGAAACAAAGTCGGGAATATTTGAACTTCGACCTTTGCATCTTGCCATTGCAAATGGACATTTTAAAATATTTCGGTATCTCATAGCCCAGCAAGTTGATATAAACGCAACTATTCGTTCACAAGGAACTTCATACTCACCTTTAATGCTAGCGGTAATGTATGGCCGCGAGGACATGGTGCGAGATCTGCTCACGTGCAGCGGAATTAATCTAAGGTATAGGAATTCCTTGCTGCAGTCTCCTGTCTTGTTTGCGGTACAGAACAATAATTTAGATCTTGTTAATATATTGCTGAGCGCGGAGGAGCTTCTACAGGACAATCGCCTCAGTAGTAATGTTTCACAGCAGAAAAAGATACGTAATATGCACCACCCTTGTGCCATGTTGGAGGCTCTCAAAAAGGGTAAGCTAAATAAAATTATTCAGATGTAAGTAATAATAATGGGAACATACTGTTAATTAGTACAAAATGGTATCCAGACATATTTTTTCCTTTAGATATCTTAATTTATCAAAATTCTAAGAAAATCATTTGATTGGGACATCATTTGTCCAAGGTTATTTACCTATCATACGAGAACGCAGCGTTGTTTGTTTGTTTTGTTGTTGTGACTATATTGCGCTGTATGTAAACTTCATACAATACAATGAGAATTCCTAAAATATCTCGGACATTTGTGACTCTTAGTACATTAGTACATAGATCGCGTGTCTGTTGTATTCAACTGTTTATGTTTGTCATACCGTTTTCTATCGTTATAGTTTTATCCTTTACGTTGTCTGTTTCAGATAATATAACTGTCTTGAAGACTCTTCTTGAAAATGGATGCCAAGTAGACTTCGTGTTCAATGGCTATCATACGCAGACGACAGCTTTAGTTTTGGCGGCAATTTGCAACTCTCACAAATGCATGGATCTTCTTATAGACCATGGTGCTGATACTGATGTATCAGTGAATGGTTTTACAGCATTAGATTGGTCAGAACATTTGGGCTGGACTGAATGTATAAAAGCTTTGCAAGGTGCTAAATTTAGAAATCTATTAAAAGGTTTAGATAGTGACAACGATTTAAGCAGTTCAGACGCGTCACATGACCTTGGTCGTCATGACGATGACACAGATATTAGTGACAATGTTGAACTTGATGCAGATAGCGATGGAGATAATATTGAAGTTGATGGAAATGAGTGCGGAGTTTCTGAAAAAAGATATCCTCTTTTTGAAATATGGAGCTTTATTCAATGGATAGATGTTAGTGAGGCCATAAAAAGACTTATTGCAAAAGGTAATGACGTCAATACACGGGATAGGTACGGCCGTACATGTTTGCATGTGGCTGTTGAGGAACAAAATGTGAGTGGGGTGAGGAATTTACTACAACTTGGTGCTGACACGGAATTACGTGACATCTGTGACGCTACGCCATTATGGCACGCGGTATATTGGAATAAGGAAAGCATGATAAAAGAACTTGTGTTCGCAAACGTGACACTTGAATGTAATGCGCGTGAAGATGCTTATCGTATTGGACTGCCATGGGTTGACATTCCAGACCAAGATGATACAAACTTGGCGTATAGATCAACGCTTTATGTTGCTGTTAAGAAAAACTTCTCACAAACTGTTCGACTGTTTCTTGAAGCAGGCTATCAAACAGACGAAGAAAACATTGAAGAATTACTATTAATAGCTAAACCGGAAGTTAAAGAAATGTTACTTGAGTATACTAGTCAACCATGTTCTTTGTTCAATACAACAAGAAACTATTTACGGCGCAAGTACAAGAAAAAAATTCACGCGCTTCTAAGTGATATGGATCTACCACTCCGTGTTAAAGATTATCTTCTACTAAGAGACATTGTCGATCTCAAAATTGAGCCAGATCTATCTACTGTTGACTCAGGCTGAACTGAAACTTATACAATATTTTCATATTTTCAGAATACCATTTTTTTTATCTAGAATGAAACAGAATATTTTTATCTAATCAGATATGTGCTAAATATAACAGCATCCGGGTATAGACATCATGAAATCAAAATCAAATGAAATATATACTTTCCGAATTAAACAAGCCCCTTTCTTCTCTATCTTTTCCGGAAAGCTTATATTCTTGTGTTAAGCAATTTAAAATTAAGATTTGTAAATAATTTAATGATTCTAATAACAATGAGACCTGCCTTAATAATCATTTTTTACGTTGTCATTTTAATGACATACATAAATGCATTGTTTTTATCTCTGTCATGATAAATGGTAAAATAGCAAACTATGTTCTTGGAAAGGAAATAGTATTGGAAGGTGTACATTTGTATTCCGTGCTCTTGAAAATAGTTTTATTTAATCACATTTATAAACGTCAGTCGGAGAAGCCAAAGAGAGACTTAGATCTATTGCAAAAGGTAAATACACGCGACGAAAGAAGCATGTTATTGATTTACCACGCCTCTTAGCTCATTCAATCGGCGGGTATTTGCCAAGTCCAAGACAAAGAAAGTTAACTTCTTTGATCTGTTGAAATACATAGTACTAATGCCAAAATGAATCACATAGACTTTTTTTATTTATTGTTTTGTTTGACATATTAAATGAATAAGAAAGATAACATTTAAATACTTATTTTGTTATTATTTTTCGGTTTTGAAAATAAGAAATAATCTCCTTATTGGGAATGAGAAATGCTGGTCTACAAAGATTTATCATAGACTTGGTATTATAAGTATCGTATATGGATGGTATTGGCGCGTAGTAGATATAATATAGCATATCAACCATACATGACTATGATACGTGAGATAATCATACTGGCAGACATTTAGACCATATATACGTATTTTAATATCTAGATCAACATTTCAACATACCGATGTAATCAGTTGTTATAAGGTTATCGGAAGTTGGCCACGTTCTACGTCAAGGTTACAAAACTGCACCAATATTAGGACCAGCAAAAATGTCCCCCTTGCTGTATATGACAGACTTTCCCATATATGTTTGGTACAATAAGCTGAGCCTTAGTTAAACACTGAGTCTTCTTTAAAAAGAAACTGTTTATTAATAAATAGGAGTCACAGATCGCACTATGTAAGCAAACGATAATATGTGGTCTGTCAGGCACGGTGGTCTCTTGCTATTCCGGCCGCAGTGTGGCTATTTTGACAGTTTTGATATATCGTTTACCATGGAAACTGCCATTTTACAAAAAAAATCCAACACGTCAACATATGTTTTTCTTTCTATTTTTGAATTCACCATTAATTTTTACTCATTATACAAAATTTTTTAGAAAATTCTATGAAAGGATTAGTTTTTTCTAAAACTGTTGAAAATGTCTTTAAACAGTGCAATTATAAAAAATGGAGCCAAATGATCTTAAAGTTACACCAGTGACTTACGGGGGAGGAACTGTTACACGAAGGATGGAGTTCTTCTGATAACTTGTCATAACTGTCATGGAGTTCCAGGAAAACGTTACGGATTCGTTGGAAAACTTTTATATATACCGAAGAAATACTCGTAAAAAGATAGTTTTCGTCTTTAAAAAGAGAGTTTGAGATGCTAAATGAAACTTTGGTGATTTAATAAGCTTGCCTTACATATTGTATTATGTGTCAGGAAAAAAACACCTCCTCCCTCGTGGACTGCCCGATGATTTTAACCATGGTTATAGATCATATATTAAGTTTACTACGACTGATGTCACTTTCAACTTAAATCATACAAGTTTTGACCTTTTGATGATTGTTCAGTAAACCGTCCTTTATCACATATACGAGTAGGCGACTCAGATATTTGACAAAATTCGTTCAAGGTTTCTTTTATTATTAATGAACGTTTTTAACAACCGAAATTATTAATTATATCTATTATTATCACAAACCATGACGTCTGGTTTATATTATCAAGAAATACGTGTACATTGCACTAGATGATAATTACTGCTCCAGGTACGAAATGGTCAATACAAGGACAGAAGATAAAAAAATATCCGTAATTTGAACTAGCGTAGGTCAAATACTGTGGCCTGCATTGCACTTGACCTGCATTTCACTTATGGCTCTTGTTTTAATGTATATTTATGCTTAAATATATTTTTTAATTTTGAAATAGAACAGGTACAATTTCAAAACATGGAAGATTATATCGCTTTCAAACTGCATAAACGCATTTTGTGTACAGTTTAGTTATTGTACGGAATATTTACGGATCAGTAAGATCCGGTTTTTTTTTCTGGCTTACATTGTATAATAGGATAATGTCTTCATACAGTTCTATAAACTGGAACCAGACATTATTTGTATTGCATGATTGTTGTCAAACAATCATTTTCCTGAATATAAACACTCAGGGATGTTTACATTCAGCTTTGGGGTGGTTATCTTCTAAAGGACTCAACTCTGCACGAGCACACTACGTACAAAAGACGAACATAATTTACATGAATAAAGTTCACGTCGTCTGCTCACAGTATTTGTATATTATAGCATGACGAACAAAATAACATAAAAATAAATTTCAAAACCTAAATATTTGGATTCTTTATTTAAAATCATAACATTTATCTAATTAACAACTTAAATTATCACAGAAATAACAACATGTAAAGCATTGTCATATATAATCAAAATAATAATATAAAATTTAATACAAAATGTAATACAATTATCTTCAAACACAAAAACAGACTACATGTACTAACAATTATATAAAAAAAACATGTTCTTTTTTCAAGCATTATAAAAATTGAAATTTCAAAAAAGAATGAAATAAAATTAATAAGATATTTTACACAGTATGATGGGTGCATATTGTAATCAGTTTCATGTATATCATTATGTATGTGCATAATTTTTTTAAAAATAATTCTGGTTTTATTTTTATGGCGTCCCGTCCATAATGAAAAAAAAAAAGATTTTGGCTCATAATGCCATTAATCAATATATTTCATATCTGCATGCATTGGTCTCCTTAAAACATGAAATACATGAACGAACTGCATATACATACACTATTTATTTAACAATATTGAAATGATACAACATATAAACTGTAAAAGCCTTGTTCCTGAATTTCGCAATTCTACACAAAACATTTAATGCTACAATGTACAATGCCCAGAAGAAAATTACCATGTGCCCAATATTGACTGATTTTAAGTAAAAGTAGTTGTCATTAAATACTTAATAAGGCAAATGTTTTATTTAAGGCTACAAATGCCAACCATGCAGCCAACTAACATTGATGGAAAAAAACTTTGTATACAGCTACATAAAACAATGTGGTCGAAAAATAAAACAACAATATTTCATTATCAAAATACTTGAAATTAAAGTGAACAATTTCCAAGTTTAATACTATGTTAGAGAAATCACTATATGCAATCGCCAACATTACAAAAGAAGCTGAAGTTAACAAAAGTAAAATTTAAAGCCATTTTTGTTTTCCAAATTACACGTAATAAGTCTTTACCTTTGAGAGTAAACGCAAAGATGAGTGAAGTGATTACTAATGATGGAGATGATTATGACGATGACGACGACGACGAATTTGTTGATGATGACAATGATGTTTTTTAACATAAAAACAATTGTAAAGCTATTTTATCTTCCGATGTAACAATCTACCGAAGAACTTGATCGTTATATGTTTTCTCAAGATACTGATTTTAAAATCTTAATATATCATTTACAAGTAGTGAATTGACAGTCATATATTTCATCTATCTATAACACTGACATGTAATGGATAACAGCTAGTGTTGAGCGTAAATAAATAATAAATCTGTGGAAGATATACATAAATACAATGAAATACAAAACTGTCTAAAACATTGGGTACTACTCAAGTCTACAGAGACATTAAAATTTAACATGTACACCTGAACACATTTGTCCTTATCTATTTTCAAAACATTTCTTACTCAAAATTTAACTTCTCCCAACACTCATACAATGTACAAGCAATTTCCTATTTTCCTATTAACCTTTCTCCGGTTTTTATTAACGTATATTAAGGCGAAATGAAAAAAAAAATCTTTATAAAATTGTCATGTACCGTTTGTAATCCTCGTGCAAAATCAAACTAATAATTGTCATGTGTGTGTAATTATTTTTTTCCCCAATTACTGTATGCCAACAAAATGTGTTATTGGTGGTGCGTTGACCATTAAGGTATCGTATTTTTCAAGGAAGAGTCCAAGTCTGTTCATGTAGGATTTCTCGTTGTAAGGTAGCGTACTGTTTTTCAAAAACTTCGACACAACTGGTTTGATCTTTAAGCACATGTTGTCAGATAGATTTGGAAACAAATGGTGTTCCACGTGACAACTGATTATAGAATGTCCGAATGCATAGTCTATGGAGGGCGATCGTTGCCAAAATTCCAGTCATGTAATGTGATCCTTTTGAAAACTACTTTTGAAAATGCGAACGTTTATGTCTAGCATTTTTTTATTGTATTTCTGCACAACAAATGATATGCCTCTTAATCCATCTTTTAATTGAAAGCACCCGCTTTTAAATAACAAGTTTAATGTTAATCTCAACAACTGACATAACATGTAGAAAACGACTAATTTACAAGTTCGTATCTTCCATTGCATATAATAAATAAGCATGTTTGCACACTTGTAGATATCTATCTGTACCTGAAAAATACAAGTGAAATGTAAAACTCGAATACAGAAAATAGAATTTAATAAAACGTGTTTCCAGTCGTAGAACTACAACAGTACGTTTACACAGTAACACGTTTAAAAAGACAAAAGTAGATTCACAAAGTTAAACGATTTTAAGTCATGCATGACGCCCCGCCCCTCTCTGAGTACTTACGATCTTCTATTACGAAATGTACGGACAGGTATAATACCCGTCGCGTCTCTCCTATTTCTCAATAATGTGAAGGAAAACACGGCGTCCATTCTAACTTTTTTTATTTCTATAAAGAGTCAAATATTTTTTGTATCAAATGAAAGATTACTCCATAAGCTTTGTATGAGTGCCTCAAAAATAAAAATAAATTAAATAGATGTATTGAAATTTTTGTTTCAAAATTTATCATTTTTTCCTTTGAGAACTAGTAAGAAAAACACGGCGTTCCCTCCAAACCTTTTTATTTCGTAATCAATTTTGATAATTTTGGATTGAAATAAAAGTGTGCTTCATACGATTTATAATATATAATGCCTAAAATATAACTGAATTAAAACAAAATGAATTATTTTTTTTGTTTTAAAGTTTATCAAGTTACTTTCTGTAAAATAGAGAAAATAAGAATCCCTAAAGAACGCTCAAAATGACAAAATTGAGAATGTTGCAGGCTCGGTTTGATTGAGCCTGTTCATGGACGGTAATGGAAAGTGCAAGTTACCGTCCACGCCCCCTAGCACCGTCTCAAGCAAAATTCAACATTTAATATGAACGGGTACAATTATGAAACTTCCGCACATGTGTTAATATGGCGATTATCATGGAACCTTCAATGTGACACGTAAGTGCCATAAAAAAACGGCACATGGTCCCCAAGTAAGAAAACATAACACACTCTGAAATTCAGTAAGAGATACATGGCGCCCCCTACTAGCTTTTTTATTTCTTGGTCAATTTTGATAAATTTAGACTCAAGTAAAAGAATCCTTCATGAACTTTCTAGTGATGCCTTAGAAATGAAAATTACTTACGTATTTAAAATTTTGTTTCGAACTTATTGTTGTTTATTTTTCTCACTTAAAACCACACTCATATATTTGTCAGGAAAATCACGTCGCTTCCTTAAGATACTTTATTCAAAAAAGAAAATGAATATTGACATAAGCTCTGGACAAGTATATTAAAAATCTGGAAGCAAAGTGATCCCTCGGAAGCACTAATCACAACAAAATTACATAAAATATGATAAACAAGATTAACAAGGAAAGGCGGCGTTCAATGAACGCAACCCCCATATGACCCAGCAACAAGAACCAGTGGCAAGGAGCCCAGGCGGACCCCAAACAAAAACAGGACAGGACAAAGACAGAGCATGGACAGGTTATTCACTAAATGATAAATAATTTGTAACTGATTAGGAATTCAAAGGAATTGCAGACTCGGTTTTATTGAGTCTGTACATGAGGGAAAATGAACAAGTTCAACTTCCCTTACGCCCCCTAGCACCGACTTGAGCGGTACTCAATTATCAACACTTAATAGCGCTGGCATCAATGATCCCGAATGACCTGAAAAATATAACAACACTGAAGTGGAGTACGGGGCAACTTTTTACAGCTGCTACACGGCACTTGACACCTGCTGTTGTGAAGTATAAAAATCTTGAAACAAAGTGATCCCTCGGAAGCATAAATCACAACAAAATTACATAAGAAATGCAGACTTGGTTTGATTGAGTCTGTACATGAGGGATAATGAACAAGTGCAAAATGTTTTTATTCATACTGAAAATACCATATTAAAGATTGTACATATGTGCTACGGATAAGTTTTTTTCTTGATTTCGGAAAGGAAATCTCGGTGGCCGCTTTAAAGTCCTATTTTTGCAAATACTTGCATAGTTTTTGTTGAAAATGAAATTTGTGCCAATACATTTTTCAATGATACCAATAAAAATATTGGATGGTCTTTAGATTATCAATAGAATTACTCCCTTGAAGTTGGTCATTGTTTGCCCTAAAAATTTCCAAATCGCCGATGTTTCTCAGGAAAACACCAAAGGGACCCGGCACAGTGTTGGGATAGTGTAAAAAAGTAATTCTAGAAAAAAAATTATACTTTATATATAATATATAGACAAGGGGTGGAACTCGCCAAATCGGCCGAACGCCCCTAGTCCAGTATAAGTCAAAATTGCAAAGTCATTCTTGCGTAAATCATATAAAGCTATATATCAAATTGCAGCTAAATGACATCACTAGACGTTGACAATAACATTACTGTCCCCACTTAAACCGTTTTTGAACAACAAACCGATATTTCGGATGAAACATCGTATTTTTGCTAGGTCGGACACAACCGTGCAACCTGTCAACACTCGATTTTCTACGTGTAAAAACGCAATTCCAGACCATGTCATTATACCAACCCACAATAAATCGATAAAACAAAACAAAATAAACAACTTACCGCTGGAAATTGTTCCAAAACAAATCAGTTATAGCAAACATTCATTTCTTTTTATTTCTCTTCCGTCAAAATATTTTTTGAAGCCATGATACATTCTCGGCAACGGTTGTAAGACATCGTTTGATTGGACGATTCTGTGACCCAGCAATGCTTTGTATTTTAATCAACCAATGAAATAAACCGTTTCAAATTGGTCACGTGATAGCCAATGGATGCTGATTACAACTTTCATTTTCACATTCAGGAATTAATTGTTTACAGACGCTATAAAACATTTTAACATCAATTTCCGGCGGTAAGTTGTTTCTTTTGTTTTTGTATTATTGATTTATTGCGGGTTGATATAATGTCATGGTTTGGAATTGCGTTTTTACACGTAGAAAATCGAGTGGGGACAGGTTGCACGGTTGTGTCCGACCTAGCAAAAAAAAAGATGTTTCATCCGAAATATCGGTTTGTTGTTCAAAAACGGTTTAAGTGGGGACAGTAATGTTATTGTCAACGTCTAGTGATGTCATTTAGCTGCAATTTGATATACATGTATAGCTTTATATGATTTACGCAAGAATGACTTTGCAATTTTGACTTATACTGGACTAGGGGCATTCAGCCGATTTGGCGAGTTCAACCCCTTGTCTATATATTATATATACAATATATTTTTTTTTTAAAGATTACTTTTTTAAAACTATCCCAACACTGTGCTGGGTCCCTGTGGAAAACACGATGTTAAATAATAAGTTTATGCATAAGTTATCTTCATCATAAATGGTAAAACCAGCAATTTTCAAGTGATGTTGCTAGCGACAAAACTTTTGTAACAAATGAAACAAATATATATTATGAAAAATGCGGTATGTTGTCCTTCGGTTTTATTTAGAAATATGAGAGAGGCGCCGTTTTATACCTGTCCGCAATAGAAGTTCGTAAATACTCCGAGAGGGGCGGGGCGTTATGCTTGACTTAAAATCGTTTAACTTTGTGAATCTACTTTTGTCATTTTAAACATGGTACTGTGTTAACGTACTGTTGTAGTTCTACAACTGGTAAAACGTTTTCTTAAACTCTATTTTCTGTATTTAAGATTTACATTTCATTTGTATATTTCATATCTATAAGTGTGCAAACATGCATATGTATTGCATGCAATGGAAGATATGAACTTATAAATTTGTTGTCGCTCTAGATGTTAAGATTAACATGTAAACTTGTTATATAAAGGCGGGAACCTTCAATTAAAAGATTGAATTAAGAGACATATCATGTGCTATGCACGGGTACAATAAAAAATGGTAGGCATACAAGTTTGCAATTTCAAAAGTCATTTTAAAAAGGAACACTTTACATGTCTGGAATTTTGGCAACGAACGCCCTCCATAAGTCTAGCACAAAATTACTTGGCAGGTTCAACACGCCTGTTGTCATTTGGTACAACCGAACAGGTTTGCTTTCCTTGGCATACATTGGTAATCCAATATGCTGGAAAATGTTAACATGTATATAAGGTATCGATAGCATGGCCCTCGACGCCCAGACAATAGCGAGTGCACCCCATAAGCTACAGTGGGATACATTCATTAGTGAGTATACCAATACAAAAAGTCCAAAGCCAGCACGAACGCAGTACTTCACCAGTCCAAAGAAAGCTTTCTTTTCCACAAGCCCCGCGATAGAGACGAGAGGGGTAAAAGGCGGTAGAAGCAGAGGCGCCACGAACATGTACACATACCTTGGTAGAAAAGGCATTTTCCACGTGCTAGAGTCACCAATTCCGACAATGTTGGTGTAAGGGTGATGTTCTTTTATGTGTATGTCATACGCAAGCTCTTCAGAAAATGACCCAATTATCTCGACAAATAACACGGACAGTGGCCGTGTCCATGATTTATTACTGCTTAAAGATCCATGAGCCGAGAGGTGGCCGTTCTTTGTAGCTAATGCTGAATGCATCCAGCCTAACAGGAAAATACCTGTGCCTATGTTCACCCATGATTCCGATCGGATAAGCAACAAACTGACTGGGAAAAGAGCAACGAATATTCCAGTTATAGCCCAGTCCACACCGTATAAATCCCACCAAGAACTTTGTTTAATGACAACATCAACCTTAGACCGTAAGTCCGAAAACTTTGGTAAGTTATCTAGTTTCACTGAATCGTATACGTTCTCTCCTTTCTTCCCATTTGCCTTCATTTTCGGTTTATTGCGTATGCCTAGTTCGATTATTTGGATGTCATTGACAGCGATAGAATCACGTGTCGTATCATGTGACTTAGTACAGGGGCAATTTATTAAATCAATTATTTTTTAATTTAATCCATACTGTATACCCTTAAGTAACAGTGCTAATACATAGTCATGAATTAGTTTTGATACTTTCAAAAATCATTTTTACAGAATCCTTTTAATATTGCTAATTCTTTGGAAAATATTTAAGTCCAATTGTTTAATGGTTGGTCCCTTTATTTACAAAATGGCAGACAATTGACGAAACAGATTTTCTTTATTTTGCTTTTAACATTTGATCACAACTTACGATTTGAAGATGAAAACAAACAAAAGGTCAATTGAATCTCAATCAAATGATAAAGAATTAAAAAAGAGAAAACTAGAAAATTCTTCTGAAACGCCAGCTAATTCTTTAAATTTCATGAAATCTTTAAATGTTTTTATTTTACAAGCTGGGATCGAGAAAATGCGGATGAATATATTTAAATCACAGCTAGAAAAGTATGGTGGTAACGTAGAAAATGATTTAACAAAAGACGTCACACATTTTGTTGTTGATGACAAAATGGATTACGACAGAATGTGTAGACTATTGAAAATCAGTACCCCACCCACCAATACTTGCATTGTAAAATCTGGTTGGTTGAGCGCTTGCTTTAAAGCTAAAACATTAAGTGATACATCTGACTTTATTCTGGAATGTCCAAAGCCAGAAGTAACCAAAGAACTGCCTGGGACTTCAACTAGTTCTGATTCTAAGGAAGAAACAAATCTTGCCAGTAGATCAGAATTTCCGAAAGTAGGAATAATGTTTGGCCATAAAACAAAGACAGCACAATCTGACAATGAAGATAGTGACTACTGCCCTAGTGGTGGAGAATCTGAGCCTGAAGCAGACTTTTCTACAAGTACATCATCAACCACAACACCATCAACTTCACCTAAGAAAAACCTCCCAGTGAGTGAAATGATATATATATTGTTAAACTGGCCTAATTAATTTAACCTCAATGGTTTGACCCATCTTACAGGTGTTTATGTTTTTTAGCTTGTTTTTTCAAAGAAAAGTTGGACTACTCTACCAACACATGTATCCCCATAATCCATTAATGTAACACTTTCTGGTTAGATTATTATAAATATGGCAGATTCATTTTTCAACTTAATATCTGATTAACAATCAAAAGTATTCAATTTAAGCTTCGCACAAACTAGCCTTTAAGATCCTAATTCATAAATTGTTGGTAATTTTCCAAAGACATAGAACTCGTGCATAAATTTTGACTGAACTATAGCCCTTTGTTAATTAAAAATAAGAACCCCGATTAAAGTTTTGCATACAATATCAATTTTCAAAATTACTGAAGATTTCCACTTGAAACTTAACATGTCTTTGGGATCATAAAGTCACTTTCTAAAACCAATGACTGTGGCAAAGATTTTGACTAAGATATGGCCCTTTGTAAACAAGAAAATTCTTAGCTTGTTTTACATACACTCTGCAGTTGATTAAATCTATTTTAATACTGAATCAAGACTCATAACTCTAGCCAGAATAAAATTAGAACTAAGGCTTTTGAAAAACTTAGACATTTTTGTGTACATGTAAGTTAAATGTCTCCACAACCATCAAAGATAATCATTTGAAACTGTTTCTAATATTGGTTTTAGAAAGTGATATTCATAATTGAGCTATTGAACAAACAGTGCAACAGCTTGTGGTTTGGATAATTTTCTGGAGCTCCCTATCCGGATATGTATGTTTATTTGTACTGAATATTTTTGCTGAATTAGAAAATTCTTATTTTACTGCCATAATAATAGTAAGAGGTAAGTTAAACATATGCTATCATTGGACAGCTTTTGTGGAAATTTCTAATACTCTTCTTGTTATTTAATTTGTTCATTAAATAAAATATTCAAATGTGAAGAAGAAATTTCAGAAAATGACTCTTTATCATTTCATAGGTTGGTAACTGGGTGTGTGCACAGTCATCCAAAACAAGTGTGGAGAATTGTAATAAACACATTACAGATAAGTTAGAGGTAAGTAAGTTACATAGTTTATATAGAATTTATTTTAGTTTGATTGTGTAAGAAGCTGTAAGCTTATAGACATACTCTCAAATCCAATCTGGAATCAACCAGCACTGGACAATTTGTGTAGTTTCTTGCTGAAGTAAACAACAGCTTTCCCCATGATGGGATTTGAACTCACACATCTATTGATCTTTAGATTACAACCACTCTGCTATATAAGTAAGTTAATTGGTGTTTTAACTTGTTGTCAGTGAGTCTTTCACTATCTGGTTTGTTGATAGCAGTCACTGGCATTGCACATGTTTTCCGTGACTGTTACATTGATTTGATTGTCTTGCAAGCACCACCATTCATTTTTCACTGCTGATTCAAGTAATTCACATTTTTGAGCCCATGTTAATGATTTGTGTAAAATTAGTTGAGTTTAGAAAATTGTGAGGTATCTTCTCACTGGAAAATTTTTGATATACTGTAGCAAACCCAGTCAGGTCAGAAGCAAAAACAAATACAACTCTTTCAATATTTGTTATGATATCTTCTTTATTTATGATTTATTTGTTGTGTTTATAAAAGCACATCTTATTGAGATGATAAAAGTTATAAGTATAATTGTTATTCTTTTCTTCAGATTTGCTTTTATTTTGATGTTTATAGTTGCACACAATATCTTATCTATAAGTGTCATTTGTTCGGCTTTTTTTTTTGAAAGAATATTAACACATTACAGTCATTTTAGTCATGTGGGTGTTCCCATACCTGTTGACATTGACTTGCATGTTGCCATTGCCTCACACATTGCCATCATAACTTTTTTCTTTCTTGGTGTATTGTCTTCAAAGTGTCATATTTAGAAGTAAAATATAGTTTTGATGTTTACAGCAGTTACAAATACATGTACATTGTATCTTCATAGGAAATGGTTAGAACTTATGAATCTACAAATGACAGATGGAGAGCATTTGGTTATCAGAAAGCAATTCAAGTTCTGAAAAAGCAATCAAAGCCAGTCTCCTCATATGAGGTAAATATGGTAGTTAGATTTTCTTGATGACGTAAATACGGTAGTAAGATTTAGTATTATAGTAAATAGGTACTGGATATTTATTTTGGTCTTAATAATCAATGGGGCGTTATTTTATGATAGATTTTTACCATTATTGGTAATACACAAATGAGCAAAATGCTTGTGATTAAAGCTACATTTGTGCTTAAAGTTTCAAGAATGAGACTATTTAAAAAGAGATCATGTGTCATCTTGCTGGTCACTTTTCAACTGAAAAAAACAGTTGTTTCTCTTGTGTGTGTACATGTATTTGGGTTTATCTGTATTCGCCACCAATTGTCCATATGGGAGAGTCCTCCAGAAGAGTATTAGTCATTTTAGGTTTTTGAGTGATACAGATACAGAAAGATGCCCAAATTTTAAAAGCTTCTTCTAGTTCTTGAGTGTGCCAAGTGTTTTAGCACAGTGCATACATGTGACCTCGATTTTAAGTCTCATCCGAAAGACTGGTTAGTAATTTCAGTTGGACAGCCTGGTAATCAAACCCAGTTGTTCTTCTTGGAATGGAATTATTTTGCATCTGTTGCACCTTACTCTAACTTTGAATTACTTACTTTCTTTACGAATTAATCTGATGTATGTGTTTCTTTGGCAATATGAAATAAGGGTATATCACAGATGTTACAGTTACTTTTATATAGCCTAAAATATGGCTTAAATATTTTCTTATATTCAAGTCAATATGGTGAATGTGGATGAATGACTTGTATTTTGTTACCAAGTAACTTCAACTGTCACCAGCTATTTCAAACTTTTATATAAAAGATACTTATATTAAAGACACATGTAAGACCAAAAGAAATGCTTTTATTCTTATTGCTCATTTTAATGTCTTGTGTCATACAACTTTATCAGCTAAGGATGTTTTCATTGTTTGACAAAATGTTGAATTTCATTTAAAAATAAATACTTATTTTTGATACCTTTTGATTCGATATTACTTAGGAAGCAATGGCTTTACCAAGTATTGGTAAGAGATTGGCAGAAAAGATATGGGAAATAGCGGAGAGTGGCAATCTACGGAAATTGGATGAGCTTAGATCGAGTGATGAATTAAAAGTCATCGAGATGTTTAAAGAAGTATGGGGAGCCGGGGCTCACACTGCTAGAACCTGGTACCAGCAGGTATAAACAGAATGGTTTAAATTAGAAGTTTTATTGATCAAGCAAAATGGTTCTTGAAAGTCATTGAAATTACAGAAAAAGGGCAGTTAATTTCCATGTTTTAAGTAAGCTGGACGAAAAAAAAAGGAATAATGTTTTATAAACTTGTATGAATACAAACTATACTGCCACCCCATTATAACTTGCCCTGTTATAACGCTAACCTCAGAATAGCGCTCATAGGCCTTGGCTTCCAAAAAAATCGTATATATGCAGTGTTAAGACCTTGGACCCTGACATGAGTGTTATAACGTGATTGCAGTGTACAAAATATTGAATCTTGAAATTATTTACAAGCTATATTTTCTGTATTCTTTAAGACCCTTTCCATAAAATATATTGAAAGCTTTAAGTTTATATAATGTATACATGTATTTTATGTTACTTGAATTATGATTTTTTACTGAATAATTGTAGCCAAAGTAATTTGATGCAAGCTGTTTGACAGTTTTTTGCAACTGCCAAAAAAACAAAAAAAAAAACATTACCTATCAAAATTTTCTCAGCATCTCTTGAACAAGAGTTTATTGAAATATTGCATTTTTTTTTCATTTTTCAACTGCAGGTCAATTAATAGGTCAGCAATAATTTTGTTTATAATTGTACAGGGTTTTAGGACACTTGAGGATTTACGGACAAAAGCAAACCTGACACATCAACAAAAGGTTGGTTTGAGATGTTACTATGATATACTTGATCGAATGCCAAGGTCTGAGGCTGGGGAAATAGAACAAGTGGTAAGACTTTACATTCAGAGTGATTTATGCATTAGACTTGTAATCTAATCCACATAATGTCAAAGCAATGCCTGTATTTTGACACTGATGTTATTAGAAAATATGTAGGATAGGAATCTGAGAATTCATACATCCTCATTTTGCATTTGGAATAAATTTAATAAATTCATTAGAATTATTATGTTAAATATTTACCGATAATTTGTCAGAGATTAGAATATTGGCTAATCTAGTAATCTGGTCTCTTAACAAAACAGGGTCTCTCTTGTTTACAACTAAACACTAATGAAATTTTTGATTTTTTTTCCTGACCAACTTTGTGGTTACATGTTTTAAGGTCTACTTGGTTGAGACCACCAAAACCGGACAACCACCAAACCCGGACAGCCCCGAAAATGCCTTTTTTATTTGTTCAGTGTTTGTTGATCTATCAGTCGCTTTTATATCAACAATAACTGCATGTTTGTTTTATAATTAAGTAATTAAATTGATTTCAATTTTCGTAAACGGTAATATTTTCATGTCTTTTTCAAGAACGTTGACATAGAAAATTTGGATGTCAAGAGTGCAATACCTGACCACATATACTAGCTGATATCATTTGTGGAGTAAATAAAAGAATATACAAAACTTCAGCATTTGCTGCTGAAATATTTTATATTATGTTTAAAATAAAAAATTAAAACACCAAAGCTTTTATTGAATTAAATCAGCATCATGGACATACCTGTCCGGACTCATGGTACTGTAGTGTGGACAATTCAGGTAATTAAACTAGTCTGTTAGTTCAGAGAAGAACCTAGCTGTACTGTGTAAAATTTTCAGATCTCTAATTTTAAAATTATAAAATCTGTATGAACAAATGTTCAAAAAGTGTCCAGTTGGTGGTCTCCGACCAGTATGTCACCACCAAATTCTATGCTATTGGCAGTTCCATAGTAAAAACAGGAAATGTTCATTAAACAAATTTAGTTGTATAAGTAAATGCATTTATGCAAATTCATATTGTAGGTTAAAGAGACTGCAGAAAGTATACAAGAAGGTATCATTGTGCAAGCTTGTGGATCTTATAGACGAGGTAAAGCTACCTGTGGTGATGTTGATATACTTGTGACCCACCCTGATGGAAGATCTCATAAAGGAATGTTTGCCAAACTTTTAGCAAAACTTAAAGAGCAGGGTAGGTTCTTTATTGATCACTTATGTATATATACTGTACAGCCTCTGTGGAGAAACACCCTGTTGAAGGCAAAAATTTTGGTTGCCGTTGGAAGGTATTGCTCTAGACAAGTAAAGTTTATTGTCAAGTCTTTCTTTGGGAAAATATGGTAAATATGGTTTATTGTTTTAAAGAGGTGATTGTTCTACAGAGGTTGTGCTGTAATTATATTACATGTATCTTAAGTCCTAATGTTTTAAATTGCCTCAAGCCTTACTTATATAGCTTCACAAGTGATTTCTTAATTTTTGACCTGATGTTAAGAATAGTGACCTATTTATCACTATTTCAAATTATTTGAACTACATGTTATGTGAATATGATCTCTATAAGAAAGAAGGTGGAGGGGGGGGGGGGTATTCTGTTTTTATTTATCCTTTACCACACTATATATCTGAAATGAACTTGTTAAATGTCTTTCAATGTGAACAAAAACATTCATCATTTTTAAGGACAATTTATAAGATATGTACATGTACTGACAAATAGCAAACAGTGCAGACCATGATTAGACATCATGAACGTGCGGTCTGCACTGGTTGCATGGGTAGAAGCAGTTGCCACCAGTAGACTAGGGGCTAAATCAGTTGCACAAGTTCTTGCATTAAGTACATTTGACTCTTTGTACAAAATTGCCATTCATATTGCAGTTACCTCCCTTTAGTTGTATCAAGTCATGAATAGTAAATATTTTAATAGTATGTAATAAATATAGGTAGAAAGCTATAAATGCATATTTATGATCTTCCCTGATACTGCATAAACTATCTGTAGTATCTTGAAATATTTATTTTGCAAGTGGAGAGCTTTTTTTGTAAATATATATAGTCTCAAGACACTGATTTTATTACACCGGTAGGTCAGTTATTAAAGTGACATACTCACTTTTTCCGGATTAAGTTGAATTAGTTATATATTTTTAAAGGTTTGCTATTATAATAATGATTGACTAATATATGATAGTGAAAAATGTGTGTTATACAATATAAAAACTACCTAAATTATAAAAAGGCTGCCCCACACTTTTTAAGAATTGAACATTTCTGATACATTTTGAAAGATATTTAAGGAAACATACTTTGATCACTTGGATTCATAGTAAGAAAAAACTAAAATGTAAAATTGAATACAATTAATGGCAAAATGTAAAGTTATTTTTAGTTTCACCTTTCCACTGACCATTTACACTTGCATAATGTCACTTTAAGAAATTTTTTGAATATTAATTATTGTACTGTGCTACACTGAACAAATTTGAAATTCAAGAAAAAATGCATTGTTGCAGAATCAGATTATTATTTTCATTTTTATGCCCCCACAATGTTGGAGCATATAGCGTTGCACTTGTCCGTCCGTCATTCCGTCAGTCCGTCCGTCAGTCCGTCCGTACGTCCCGAAATCTTGTGAACGCAACTCCTCTTAAACCGGATGGCAGATTTTGCTTAAACTTACAGGGATGAACAACCTTAATGTGTAGATGGTAGTAAAGGAAGGAATTTTTGCTGCGACCAAATTTAACAGAATTATGGCCCTTTGTTGATTTTTTCACTAGATACTATGTAGAAATTTTGTGAACGCAACTCCTCTTAAACCGGATGGCAGATTTTGCTTAAACTTCCAGGGATGAACAACCTTAAGGTGTAGATGGTAGTAAAGGAAGGAATTTTTGCTGCGACCAAATTTTACAGAATTATGGCCCTTTGTTGATTTTTTCACTCTATACTATGTAGAAATTTTGTGAACGCAACTCCTCTTAAACCGGATGGCAGGTTTTGCTTAAACTTCCAGGGATGAACAACCTTAAGGTGTAGATGGTAGTAAAGGAAGGAATTTTCGCTGCGACCAAATTTTACAGAATTATTGCCCTTTGTTGATTTTTTCACTATATACTATGTAGAAATTTTGTGAATGCAACTCCTCTTAAACCGGATGGCAGATTTTGCTTAAACTTCCAGGGATGAACAACCTTAATGTGTAGATGGTAGTAAAGGAAGGAATTTTTGCTGCGACCAAATTTAACAGAATTATGGCACTTTGTTGATTTTTTCATTATATACTATATAGAAATTTTGTGAACGCAACTCCTCTTAAACCGGATGGCAGATTTTGCTTAAACTTCCAGGGATTAACAACTTTAATGTGTAGATCGTAGTAAAGGAAGGATTTTTTGCTGCGACCAAATTTAACAGAATTATGGCCCTTTGTTGATTTTTAGTTTTCAACTTGTGGCACATGTAGTCCAAAAAATATTTGACCTAGAGTCATAAGATTGACAGAACAGTGGCGTGTGGGGGCATCAGTGTCCTATGGACACATTTCTAGTGTTTTTTAGAACTGCAGAGGGTGTTAAAAGGGGTTACTTTTGTATTCATTTCAGGCATTGTTTTGTTTAAAGTAGTGCAAACAGTTACAATGAATATTATTAGTTTTAAACATTTTTGACAGGTTGTATGGTCCTATATAAAAGGGTTGTTTAGAAATATAACCAGAGCTGCTAGGTTAGGTTTATATTGCAAACAATCATTTATATACGGTATTATAACCTGTCAGGAATATTTATAAGGAATTTATAATACAGCAAAATTCCTTTTTTGAGTAAAAAAGTGAGGTTTCTGTATAAATTGACAGCAGCCTTGTTTATAAAACTGTATAAACATCACAATTATCTTATGAAAAGCAATGTTACAAACAGGCAGTATTATAAATGTTGTTGAAGAGGAAATGTAATGGTTACTGTTGTACATATCATAATTGTAATTGTAAATAAATTATTTTCAAACACTGAAACTGAGAACTCTTTTAAATATAGTAAATGGACTTGACCATTTTTCAATCTGAACAAACTCATTCATTATTATAAGGGTAATTTAAAATAGGTACTGTAGTAAGTGCCGGCTGATCTTAGTCTGCGCTGATTTAAACAAATTTATTAATAATGCAGATTATGTAGTTTAGTTTGGTTAAATCTTATTTATTAAATATATTTTTAGTCCCCTACCAGTTAAACCGGAGGGGACTTTAGGTTTACCCTCCGTCCGTCTGTCTGTCCGTCCGTCTGTCTGTCAGTCCGTCCGTCCACAAAACTGGATCCTGCGATAACGCAAAAAGTACTGAAAATATTTTTATGAAGCTTCATATATGGATAGATGGCAGTATGGAGATTATGCACGTCTTTTTTTTTCTTCCTATGTTGAAAATTCTGGTTGCTATGGCAACAAATAGTCTGAAAATATGGCAAATTTAACACATAAACTGGATCCAGTGATAACTCAAAAAGTACTGAAATTTTTTTTTATGAAACTTGAAATATGGGTAGATGGCAGTCTGGAGATTATGCACATTTTTTTCTTTTCTTCCTATGTTGAAAATTCTGGTTGCTATGGCAACAAATAGCCTGAATTTCAAGATTTCTGATTTAAATTTTTCAGCTTTTTCACTATAAGTTCTTTATTTCTTAAGGTGTTTACTTTAAATATAAGTTTCTAGTCATCAACCTCATCATATGTGACAAGGTTTACAACTCTAGCACAAAAATTATCAGTTTTACCTCCCTTGAACTTAGAATTTTAATAAAAAAAAATGTTGTCTTTTTTAAATAACTTCTTTATTTCCTAATGTATCTACTTCAAACTTCATATATATGTTTCTTATTATCACTCAACATTTTTGAGAAGGTTAAATACTCTAGCAAGACTATTTCCAGAATTATCTCTCCCTTGAACTTAGATTTTTTTCGAGAAATTGGTATTTTTCACTCCAACTTTTTCACTCCAACTTCCTCATTCCTTATTGGATTTACTTTAAAATCCCACATTGTAATAATATGACAAGGTTGTATAAACATAATTTCCTTACTAGGCAGGGAAACTTAACACATTACTGTGATATAGACAAACTTTGAACTCAAAAGATTTAAGTTCATTCATGTCATTCATTCACTGGTAAAATTGAATGGCCAATGGCCCATCAGAATGTTGCTGGGGTTCTAACCGGTAGGGGACTTATGGATTGCTTGCAATACTATGATAATTGCTTGTTACTACATTTATTGCTCACTCTTTGATAAAACAGTACATGATGATAACCCATGTAGGGCTTGCTTAAACTTGCACAACACCCTCAAATGAAAGTCAGACACATAGCCAAAAACTCAACTTTAAGAATACATTTAATTCAATATAACAGATACTTGTCTTAGAATTTCTAAAAAAAATGTATGTTTGCATATTTATTTTTTTTTTAATGGTGGCAGGTCATATTAAGGTTTTACTCATAAATTTGTTCACTTCCTGTATCAGGTAAATTAGGATAGGATAGTATCGCATATCAAACAGGAAGTTGGCATGTAGTTTTTTTTTTTTGGTTTTGTTTTTTAAATTCATATAAATGATGCATTTGATATCCATCGTATCCTGTTTCATTTTATTACACTATTATATATAATATAGCAATATTATTTACTTTATACCTGGGGAGAAGGTTATCTGCTTGGCTGACTTCAGAGTTTTTACAAGAAACTTTGTCACATTAGTTTTAGTAGAGTTGTTTCATTTTTGTTGATTTTCCACTTAAAATTTTATGAGCAGATATGATTGCCTGTTTATGTACATTTGATTTTGAAAATCCATATTATTTGATGACAAAGTCACCTTTGAAAACAGAAAATGTTCTGGAATATTACATGGTTTCAGAGTTCATGTTTCGTAACTGAATGAGAACTATCGTAACTGAATGACAACTATCGCTTCTGATTCAAATATAAGTATTATAACGCCAGGCTTGAATTTCATGCTTCATACATGTAGTTTTACAGGGGTGGCTGGCCTGCCTATGTATTTTGAATATATGGCATGATGTTATTGTTTCATTTTGTAAAGTAAGCATTTATATTGTCCATTTGACAGTAATATGATCAAAGAGATTGGAATTACATGTAAATGATTTTGTTTCTGGCGATCAAATGTCGATATTTGACATTAAAAATGTGACATTACTATTATGTGACATTATGATATATAACATTATAATATGTGACATTAAAATCTGTGACATTAC